GGGGGGTGTACATTTACCACTTGTCTTTCTCCTGTGAACTTTGAGAAGTATAATACCATGCTTTGAAGAGGTAGATGATGAGTTATTTTCCAAGAAGCTTGCAGAACAAGTGCAAAGGATTATGGTTTAAAAATACCCACTTTTTTTATTTACAAACACCATTTTGATCTCTGTTTTTAAAGGCTATATAGTAGTATACTAATCTTGAAGCTCTCTTTTTACATCCTAAATTTTTATGTGTTAGACAAACAGGGAAATAAAAGATCTGAATCTAATTTGGATATACTTATTACTTTAGTTGCTATACGGTTACTATATGAATTTATTTTCAGTTTCAGTTGTTTCTCAAAACAAAACACTCAACATGTGCTAGTCAGTTTCCTTCATTATGGATATGAACCTTTGTACTAGTTGCTCATCACTATTGATTATTCTTTAAAAAAAAAAGTTGATTCTTTTTATATGCCTATATATGGAAACAATGTCATGTATTTCCCAGTACAACTATTAATAGCCTCTCTCCATATGCATAATAAATTATTTATTTTAATCTGCACTAACAGAAATGCACTTACAGGAATCACAAGTGCACTTTAAGTATAAATTTGCATGATTTTTTTTTTCTCCTTTTGTTTCTTACGCAGTTGCTTGCTTGTCTTTTTCACTGATAGACAAATTCCGTGGCAAGATGGTGATTCCGACTACTTTTAATATTTAAGAATCTTCAAGTTGCTGACTGTTTGTAGTAAAAGTAGCAGCTATGGGTAGAAATGTTTTAATAAGAGGGGTTTAGAGGTGATTTAGTAAACTTGTAAAATTATAGTTGAGGACTAGTAGATTGGATCTTGCTTATAGAAGGCAGTATCACTGGAAAGTGCACAGACTGAAATAGTTTGACCAGCGTTATCTATTGATGTGTATGGCCCAGGCACAACCTTCATGATCCTCATTTCCCCAAAATCTTCTGAAAACAAACAAGTCACTGTGGGCTATATCTAGAGATCATGTGTTCTGGGACATTCTTACAGTTTATTAGGCCCATGCTGTGCTTCTTGAACTCCTTCCTGAATGTTTTTTCCTACTGTTTCCTCTGCTGTATTGTCGGTGTTTCCAAGAGCAAATAGTGATGACAACTAATTTTACACCCAAAACTTTTGAATTTTTAATCATCCCTTCAAATACCTTACTGTCCACCCAAATATTTCAGAAGTCTAGGCAATTTCTTCATTGTGTCTAAGAAAATTTACTGTAATTTTGGTCTTTTGGGTAGTTATGTACGGATCAGGCCACACATTTACTAAATACATACTGAATTACGACTGGATCAGATTCTAAGTTCAGGAGAGCCCTTTGACCTTCCCTCAGCTCTTGCTAAGCCTTCTTGGGTAGGACCTAGCATCTACTCATTGTACGGGGCCCACGTATAAGACACACAGCAAGTGTTATTACGTATGTAATTAATTGTATTTGTACTTTATTAATGTAGGTTCTATACCATGCCCTTTGTACTCTTACTTCTCAATGATATGTAAACATATACTAAGCACAAGCATGACCTCATATATATTGGTAATCTGAAGACCTTTCCTCCCCTTCTCCCTTACTACACCAACTCCTATTCATTGCTGCAACTTTTTTTTTCCATTTCAGCCTAGCTTGCCTGCACAAGAAAGTAAGATTATTTTTTTTAATCATTATTATTTTTTAAAGTGAAAGGCTTTACTTGAGGGATTTAAAAAAAAAAAAAATCTAGCAAATTTATTTTCCAGTAACATCTTGATAAATCTTTATAAAGATGCCAGTATTTCTTTAAACATTTGCAAACACCACTAAGTTTAATTTTTTTTTCTTTACAATCTTTAAAAGGAATCTGTTCTAATGAATGTATAAAAATTCATCATAGATAATAGTTGTTCGAAGTTAGTCTTATTTTCTATATCCATTTGGTCTGTTAAAACACACAATTAAATCTAGAAAATTACAAATGTGAGTCATTAGCTCTGAGGCATATAACTGCCAGGCAAGCAGCCATGACGAATCCAGAAGTATTTAAATCTCTTGGTGTTAAAAATAGGCATAGTAAAGATGTCACTAAATTTAAAATAAATCTGTTGTAAAATGTAATTCCAGTTAACATGTAATGTCTTGCGAGATTGTTGCTTTAGGGCAACATGAGTGTAGACCCATGGTTAGTGAATGGTCTTAAAAAGTGAGTGTTTAATATACAGAGGCCTAAAGGCTAGTCATTTTAAGTGTGCAGCATGCATTGTCAAGAAACAGTGTTTCCTGGTAGTTATATTACTGTTGGTTTTGTTTTTTTTTTCTAGGGGGATGCCAAAAGTCTTCTAGCCTCTGAGAATGTGAGCACTGGCCAAAAGTTGGACTTTTCAGATACAATGGTACAGCAGAAGCTGGATGAAATAAAGGACCAAATCAAGCGGGAAATAAGGAAGGAACTTAAAATCAAGGAGGGAGCAGAGAACCTCAGGAAGGTCACAACGGATAAAAAGAACTTGGCATATGTGGACAACATTTTGAAAAAATCAAATAAGAAGTTAGAAGACTTGCATCATAAGTTACAGGAGCTAAATGCACACATTGTTGTAACAGATCCAGAAGATGTTGCAGGTACCATATGTTACTGTGAAATCAATTTTTTCTCTTAGTTTAGATAAGCTGTATCCCATTTCACTTGAAAAAATTGTTCTGGGAATGAGCAAATCCTTAGCTGGCGAGTTTATTACTTATGTATGCCTATTTGTTTTGACTCACAAATAAGTGTCCCGTCCCTTTGAGTTTAAAATTTTTTTCTGGGGAGCACTGTATTTCACAGACTATTTGATGATGCTCTAAAGACTAACTTAACTTGTACCAGTTCTTCACTTTCAGCTATTACTATATTAAAATATTTTCTCAATCAGTGTAATCTAACTTTTAAAAACTGTTTTTCTGTTACACCATTTATCTGACTAACTTATCAAACATTTCTTACTATTGCAATGATTTGTTAAGTCTTCAGGCTTTTCCACAATGAAGTTACCATTTTAAAGACAATTTGAAATAGTTTTCACAGAATCACAGAATGGTTGTAATTAATGGCTTTAATTAGTATTTTCTGTGGCAGTGAGTCAGTACTAATTTTGAATGTATTTTTTAAAAATACCAGGCTTGGTACCTTAAGATGGATGTTGTGAAAGTAAACAGTCCTTTTTCAGCTTTGTGGAATGACTTGGGAGATATTGCCAAGCTGGTGATTTCACATTGCACAGACTCTTCTTGGCAAAAGGTTAATAAACGTGCACAAGCCGTCAAAGGTGTTTGCAAAGTGAATGCCAAGCTCTAAGAAGCTTGGGCAGTAGAATAAAAGACTGCATCATCCTTGTGAAGAAAGGTTGGTTACAGTGAGAATTTAGGAAAACACTGGCAGGTGATGTCAGCAGTTCATACTGTCTGGCTCTGTGACATGCTGCAAAAGTGTTGAAGTGTCCATGGTGGCCTGCACAGTATTGTCTGCATTTTTCACTTTTGATCTTCACAACATACAAGGGGCGGGGTTGTGGGGGGGCAGCTGGAGCTAGTGAGGCAAAGTAGTTGCTGCAGCATGAAATGAAAATGAATACAATAATGTATGCCTCATAGATAGCCATTGGGGTTTTAGTAGGCATGAAGCATTCTGTTCCATATCAGCTAAACTTTATGAAAATCCTTTTCAGTATGGACAGTAGCATGGCTTTTAAAGGAACGGGAAGAGTGAAACAGCAAGAAAACTGTGTATAAACTGTATATAGACCGAATATAAAAATCTGTGTGAACATAAATTTGTAAAGTTCATCTAATAGTAGAACTTGAAAAGTGGATTAGCACAGAATGCTGTTGTCAGAATGCCCCCTTCCAGTGTAGTGTTTTAGAACTCTTTATCACAACGAGTTAATGAGCAATATTGTCCTTGTGCGTGACTTGGGAAATGCAGTAGACGCTAAGAAAGCATTTACTAGTTCTAGAGAGAAGGTTTGGGTACAAAGATCTAAATAATGTTGTTCAAATCCTTAGTACACTTCTGAAGAGGCCAACAGTGCCTATTTTGTGAATAACTGTTAGCAGACAGACTCTTCATGCCTTGTGTTCAAATACCAGAGGCTTCATGAAAGGCTCAAGGGGTAAAAGGTCAAGGTTGATAAACTTACATGCTTCTATCTGTTTTTGATGCATGCTAAACTTCTTAGTACTATGTTTTTAACCTTTGTTCCGTTCAAAGTGGTTTTGGTAGATAGCTTTTACAGTCTTACTTAATTATTGAAATATGCAAGAAAAAACTTAGGAATTCTGTTGAGATCTTTATATTCTTTGTATAGTATCACATCAGGTATTGCTATGTAAGACCCATTTTAATAGAATATATTGCCAAAAAAATGAAAAAAAGAAGTGGTCTTTAATTTTTTTAATATCTCTTTCTAGATCAAAGATCTACAAGCACCCACCCTCCAAAATTGAAATGCTTGAGGTTTTTTTACACTGTTTGCCTTGTAATTTAATTGCCTGTCTCCTTCCTTGTTCATGGTCACTAATTCATGGAGGGGGAGCACTATCAGTAAACATTCTGTCTGTCTTGAGACTAATGGGTGCAAGTCATCTAGGTGGTACTCTGATTTTTAATACTGAAGTCTTAAGTTTGACAAGGTATTAGTGAGCTTGGCCTTTGCAAGATAAGGTTGGTAATATAAAACTGTAAATAAAAAACATGCCAACTGTGTGGGTGCTTGTGTGAGTGTGTATATATTTATATATACACACACAAACATAATATTCAGCAAATAGGTACACACATAGCTCTAAATATCACTGCCATCTGTCAGAAGATACTTCTGTGGAGAGGTCACAGGTATCTCAGTTTGGGAATTCTTGCTTTTGCTCGAGATCAACAGTGAATTTAATAACCATTTGCTCATGAATATGGGAGCTCCCTGAATAAGTACATTGTTTCCCAAGGTTAGCTTTATTCTGAGTTACAGATTTTCACTTTAACTTGTGTTTGACCTTTTTCTGGTCAGTTATGATTTAAAGAGAGAAGGAAATATGTGGGAAAATTTTATACTGTGCAGAGCATGAATGCTGAAAATAAGGTAAAGAGGGTTCAAGAACTGTGGGAGTCAAGATCTGTGTTGTCTTTATGTACTTTAATATTTTTTGGGGGTGGCTCTATGTTTTTCCCTGTCTTCTAGAGTACACTGTGTAGGTTTTTGCAGATTCTAAGTAGCAAAGTCAGGACTGAGATCTATTGAGAAGTAACACTGAGAGAATCATTGCCTACAAGATGATGGTCCCTTTGACCTGTCAGGCCTGAACTCTGAAGATTTTTGGACTGTTTCTGTTGACTGTTTGAAAGGTCATTGTGGTAACTTGGAGAAGTCATTTAATCTTTTCTTGTTCCTGTATCTGAAAAGCGGATGTGAACATATATTTCTAAAGAGCTCCAGACTCAGAGCTGAAAAGTGCCATGCAAGCTGTTGTGCTCTTACTATTGCTTATGGTATCAAGTAGTAACTTACATTACTTTTTTAACAAACTGCTAATTTGTAGTCTAACTCCTTTGTAATCAGCACAGGGTAATTGATACATGTTAAACCCATTAAATGTAGTGTTAATCTACTATAGAAAAACGTGTTTTAATATTCCATTTCCTAATGCCATAGGAAACTATTTTCACAACTATTTGAAGATTTGGTATTAAACCTTAACCAAAAAGTACAGTTTGCTAAAAAGCTATATTACTGAATGTGAGGGTAGATTCGGCAGCAGATGTATAATTCAGAAATTACTTTTAGCATAACATAGGTTTACTTTACATTATGGGGCTGCTGGTGAATCTAGATTTGTTTTAGAAGTGGGACGTTGTACCCAGGTCTGCCCTTATCATGCAGTGTGTTAGTCATACTAGGATGCAGAGTTTTAAAATTTTTAGGTCAGCACTTAAAAGTGAAGCAGAATGCAGCAATACAAAATGAGTAGGACAAGCCTAGTGACCATTACTGCTGAAAATGAGAGATTTATTTTAATGTGTAACATGGGGATGATTACTTCAGTCTTAGAGATTAAGAAATTTTGTATCTTGAAAACATACTTCTACACAGTAGAACAGATTAAGTTGATATTCTTTTCATGTGTCTAAAAAGTAGCAGTAGAGATTGTGGGGTTTAGTGTGACTCAGTGAGGTGTGAGATTGAAATAGCTTACCTACAGCAAGTCATTGATTTAATTAGGCCTACAGTTGATATGCAGGCTATATATGAATTGGGAAATTAATCTGTCCTACTGAGCAGAAGTAAAGGTGGATAGGAAGATGAGATGATAGAAAAACCTTTGAGGGAATTGAGGACACTGGTTAAAATGTGGAGAACATGAAATCAAAAAGACAAGTTCATGCTTCTTCCATTCTCCTAACTAACTTCTAAGCTATCCACTTTACATCAAATTTGGCTATAGGAGTCATAAGGAAAATAAATTATTTTGTTTAAGAACATGACTAGCTGACAGGGTAGTGAGAGAGACTGTTTTGGAGATTCCTTTGTCCCTACAAATGACTAGCTTAATCTGTCAGACACCAAAGACCAATTACTGGAAGCTGGTAGAGGTAGCAACCAAATTGGTGTAGATAGTGACTTTTTAGACAGCAGACTCCACCTACAAGGCTCATATCCATGGGAATTTCATGGTAACTTTGGGGAACCTTAATATAGAATAACATTATTGAAGCAATTTGAAACAATCTCCTGACACTTGTTTAGTAGTTAAAATTAGCCATTACTGAATTGAAATTCAGTTGAACTTCAAAAATTGCCAGGAGGTCAATGCTGGATGCTGAGTGCAGAATGTCCACTGCTGCCTTGGACTTACTGATGGCTTAGTTCAAGTGCTGATGCAACCATCTGACTTCCTGAAAAAAGCCTAACGATGCCTCTTTCTTCCCCTCTCCAGCAATGCCTAAACATGCATCACAGGTATTTCTGTTTGGTATGACACTGATGAGGCTAACTGCAATTAAATATCCTCAAATAAGTTTAAAATTAACTGTTTACCAAAGGGCACTTGCTGCTAATTGAGTAGCTTAGGATAATGCTGCAGTACCATCCAGGAACCCAAATCCAGCAAGTTATATGGGATTCTAGATTTCACACTGAGCTTATTGAAGAAATAGCATACCTAGCATCTGGGGAAGAGTCCCCAAAGAAATGAGCAGCAGTCTCAGAAGAGTAGAGTTGTGTCACTACTCTGATAAATTTAATTTAGATGGGAGTGCTGGTAAAAGGCAATTTAGAAGCAAGAAGTTTTTGCTGGTGAGCGCTATGCAAAGACTCAACCTGAAAAGGTTTTCAGAAGAGCAAAGATCATAGTTAAGATAAACATTTCAGACTGAAAACTGCCATTGTCCTCATGCAATCCAGACATTATAAAAAAAAAAAAAAAATCAGTTAAACCATCTCTATTAACTTATTTTAAATCTTACGAGTATATTTTCATGAAAACAGGATATTGCAGGTGCTGGGGAAGCAGTACTGCAGCTGTTCCAGCAGCCTGGATGTGTGCTAACAAGCTGCACAAAACTCATTCGTGTCAGGCAACAACATTCATAGTTGTTCAGCAAAAACAATGTGCTAGTTACTTGAAATGAAGTCAAGTTCGGCTGAAATACTTCTGTTACTTCACTTGATATTCACTGTCAAGAAGAAAATGCCTAGGAGCACTAATCCATACCCCAGCAAAGCTCTTGCTGTCCTATGCAAAGTTGGACTTGAATGCATCCAAAATGGCAAGTCTTGTACTGTCCTTATTGACCAACAAACGTGGCAAACTGGAGAATCTCTTATTGTCCCCACTTACCTACTTGAGTGAAATATCAATTTGGTATGAGTACTTAACTCTTGTTTAACTTTAAGCATATACATAAATCCCATTAATTGCAATTATCTGGATGAATTTATTACTTATTTGTATTATGAAGATGACTAAATGTCTCCAGATGAGATTTGAGCCCCTCTGTATAGTGCTTTACACAAATAGATCAGAGATAACTAGCCATACCAAAGTGATTACAACCTCAGTAGACATTACAAAGAGAGAGGGAAACAGCTAATACAGATGTAGCTTGTAGTGCTGCTGCTAAGATTGTCAATGCTTTCCATAACAGGACCAGTTTGTCTGGCTGATTTAAAACTTAAATCTGAATTCTTGTGTAAGAAGCTGTCTCGGGCTGCTTACTGAATTGTAATGGGGCCGGGCAGCAGAAGGAGGCACTTGGAAGCCATTTCTGAAAAGCTGTTGGTAAACTTTTTTTTTCTTTAAAAAAAAATAAAATATTTTTGTTAAGAAACCATATTGTTCCATGTTTGGGAGTTTAGTGAGCAGCTATTATACCTGAAGGCAAAACATAATTTCTTCCTAGCAATTAGTCCGTCCTGCAGAAAAGTTTCCTTTGCTGCTGGTTACTAACAAAGCATATGGTAGAACCATTTAAACTAAATGGTAGAGGGTAGTTTATGTCCACAAGTGCAGACCAACTCTTGAGATGACCCAGGTAAGTGATGTGGTTACACCTTTACAGTGCAGACACGCAAAGAGAGATAATAACAGCTGCCTGGGCAACCTGAACCTGGTATCTCTAATTAGTCCTTGACTTGCAACTTGAGTGTTGTTTTAATGCAAAAGAAGACTGCCTGTGCGTCCTTAACAGCTGTGAAAACAGACTTCAGGAGCCCCACAGTCTTCCCAGCGATCATCAGAGGACTGGGATCTTTAAGTGGTAGATGCTTGCATCATAAATCTAAAGTTGGTAAACATTCATTTATACGATTAATCTACTTTACAAGGAGACTTGACACTGTGACTTTCAAGTCTCACATTTGTTCTAATTTTGAACAGATTATTAGGTGAGGATTAGTTGAATGTGAAGACATAAGTGAGAGGAAAGCATGTTATTAATCTTTGTTTTATTAAAAACAGATTTAAGGTAAAGCTGTTCAAGTGCAGTTTCACAGAGAAACAAAGCCAAAACATTGAGGAGAGGGTGAACAACAAAGCAGATGAGGAATAACGCGGATTTTTTTTTTTTTTTTTTTTTTTAACATCTAGTATTTTCTGGTATTTAAGTAGTGAGGATGCATCAAGAGTCTTGAAGTGGCTTGAACTGAAGAGTGAATTAGCAGCAGAGGAGCTTAAAACTTCTCCTTACATGAAATCTGTATGTAGCCTCAGCAAAGATTGCAATTTAGGAGGAAATTACACAGCAAACTTGAAAGTAAAGTGTATCAGATCTCCAAAAGTAGTTATCAGAAGCTTCTACGGAAGAAGTATGAAATGGCAGATAAGACATCTCCTCCCCATGACACCTCATAATTAATAATTTGTAAGCTACTAGTGCAATAACTGTGTTTTCTAGTAATTGAGGATTTCAGGAACTTCACTCATCATCCTAGTTTTAATTCAAGGAAAATTAATTAAAATTGGGAAAAAAGGCTGTACTGTTGGTATGGAGTGAATATTATTTTCCAGGACACCAACTGTCATTTGCCCATAGAGAAGGTACTCTCTCATTTGTTAGGGTAGAAGAAATCAACAGCAAAGAAAACATTATTACAGTGGGCATGATTTATCCTCTTTTACAAAAAGGTTGAAATAGACTCCATTGCGACTGTTAGGGAAGATAGTTAGCTAAAAGGACAGTCGTGTTGGAAATAGTTAAGTACTAGGAAATAATCCAGTGGCCACTTATTTTCAGTTCACTAGCAGTTCATGTTGCAGAAGCGGAAATATGAACCAGTGATTAGGAGACTTTTCTGGAGGAGGATAGAAAAGTTTAGGAGTTTGACTATATAATTTGATGGATAAAACTAACTTGCATTCCATTAAATTAATCCAGCAAGATGGAGATCTAAACACAGTAGTATTGTCAAACGAAAAAGCTTTATCCTTCCCGCAGATCGCGATTGTTCAGTAACCTGTCTGCCTATATATTCAGTTACCTCAGGATTCTGTTATGATTCCAGGGCAAAAATTGTTCAGTTTTACGACTAAGGAAAAGTCTCGTTTTATCTATTCTTAATTTTGACATAAACTGTGTCTGCAGTGTTCACACTAGAATCGATGAGGATCTACATAATATCTGTATTTAGACCATGCTCATTAGTATTGAATATTATTGTCCAAGTTTGTTTTTAAAACACTTTGATTTAAAATCAGGAGTGTAAGAAAGCTTAATGGAAAACTGCATTTTTAATTGACTCGAGACATTCCAAAAGAAATAAATCTCCTTTGAAACGAAAATAGACCTAGCTGCAAACCTGCCTATTTTACCACTCCCGGAAGTGATTCATGTGAATTAGGACATGTGTAGGAGTCACTAGGCTTTCGTGAGGCTTTTCATGTTAAGGCGCATTTGCAGCGCTGTTGCAAAGTAGCTCTGGACGGGAGGGTCAGTCTTAATACTTAGATATGATGTTCTAGCTTTGTTTAATCTATAACGTAATAGAATAGAGTTTAGGGTGGTTTGCGGGGGAGGAGTTTGGGTTTTGGTGTTTCCCCCCCCCCGCACACACTACATCTTACCTTTAATTCACAGATTGTCCTAGGACTCCTGATACTCCAAATAGCGATCCTCGTTTTTCTACTAACAACAGATTGATGGCCTTAAAGAAGCAATTGGATATAGAACTGAAGGTAAAACAGGGAGCAGAAAATATGATACAGATGTACTCAAATGGCTCTTCAAAGGTAAGGCTTTGGAATGCTTAAAGAACATGAAATGACTGTGGATTTTCACGTTGCTGTGGTGCGAATGTATAATGTATAAACAGTATGCAATTTCAGTATTTATAGTTTGGGGTTTGTTTTTTTTTTTTTTAAATAGTTATGTCAAATCTGCTACAAATTACTGTAGCATTTGTTGTTGTGGTTTGATACCCACTCAAGTGATTGTATTATCGTTTGTCTGCATGCAGTTCAACCTAAATAGCAAATCCAGCTTACTAAATTTAGTACATCTAGTAATCTTTGATCATGTGTGATTCACTTAGCAGCAAAGCTTGGTATGACACTGACTGGTATCTGATGCTTTTCCTAGCTCCACTAAAAAAAAAAAAAAAAAAAAAAAAAAAAAAAAAAAAAACAAAAACCCACTAGTTTAAAGTTGTAATGTGCATGATAATTACATAAAAGGCAGCATTGCCAATGGTCATCTAGTTGTAGTTGGCAGGAAAAATATTTGTACCAAATATTTGTTTTAATAAGAGGTGTGTAGTATTCTGATAGAGTTGTTATAATCTGCATTAGTACACGTGCACATAAAATACACATAAAAATACTTTGTCTTTTTTACAGAAGTGTGGTATTCTAGAGGAAGCATCTGATAGCACCAAACTGAAATTAAAAATAAAGCCACACTTATTTCTAGATCTGAATTTTAAACACATGCTCACTTGCACTCACTCTCTCTTGATAGCACCAGAAGTTCTCCAAGGAGGTGGAGGGGAAGTGTTTGCTAACCCCTAAATAGGTTTGACTTACTACATAGTCCTAACTATGTAATAAAATTCAGCATACTCTTAAGAATCCCTCCAAAGAAGGACAAGGCAAACCTTTTAAATGAAGTAAAAACAAACCAAACCCCAAACCTAAAAACGAATCAAAAAAAAAAACCCCAAACCCCACATTTTGTAAGGGAGTCATAGTTCTCAAATGAGAAAAAACAGAGGGAGGAGGGAGAATCCTCTACTTACCTGCCCCTTCACTAGTTACTCATTACCTGTTCTTTCCATTTACTTTTACTAAATCATTAAGGAGATGAATTTCCAAACTAAGGGGAAACACAAGCACAGTTCCAACAAATAGTATGTAGTAGCTTAGTTAAATGTTTCTGTGTCCAGACAATAGTAAACAAAATTGAAATGTTTTAAGTTCTTAACTGACTGAGCCAACACCTAGCTAGGTCAGTGAACTGATTAAAACAAAGTGTTTGACTTGAAAAGTAGACATCTGTGAATTGTGTTGCTACCCCTTGTAATTGATACTTCCAGAAAGTGTTGGAAAGGAACTTCATGTTTTTGAGTGAATTTCTGCTAGAGACTGGTGAAGAGGCAGATTACTTTGTATCATCCTACTGTATAACTTTGTTATACCTCAAAAAAAAATTACAGTCAATGCTGCTCACTCCCGGAAAAATGAGTTTAGAGTAGATGGACCGTAGGTGCCATCAAGCTCGTTCTATCCCAGCAGTACTTCTGTTGAACCAGCTGGTACTTTGGTAACCTTATCTCAAAGTGACCTGTAACCTACTAGCCTGGGGCAGATGGAAGAAATATCTGGAGTGCACCTTATGACTAAGGGCCTGGGAATGCTGTCCATGCACCGCAGTCCCTCAGCTCCTGGAAACCCTGGAGTCTACATCCTCTGGGGCCATGTACTTAACATCAGGTACACTTAAAAATAATAATCAGCTGACCCAAATGGATCAAAAGACATACATGAATTATGTTCCTAATAAACCCTCAGTAAGTAACCTTATAACAGCCTGAGAAAACTTAACTAAACAGTGAAGCTATAATGTTAGACTTTGCTAGTAGGCTTTGATCAGACTAGGTAGAAAGGATAAATTCTGGCTTGCTTTATGATTGAGGTATGTAATTAAAATTGATGATTGAATCTTCTCTTTGCAATTGGTAAATGCTTAAATCAGCCTACCAGATTGGGTGTATATAGTAACTGGGCTGGGGAGAGCAAGCTGGAAAACACAAAAGCATTGCCAGCTGCTTCAACAAACGGGATGAAAATGGTGCGTATTCATTCTCTCATGTTCTTAATACTCAGTAGTGAGTTAATTTGGCATGTTTAAACTGTATGCTTGAGCATGGTGACTATGTTTTAAAAAGCAGAACTTAACACAGCTCAAGTGTCTGGATGAGGTGGGGGAGAGGGGCAGAAAATTCCCAGCTTGATTCAACCCCAGTAATCCAGTAGTTCTTTAAAAAGTAGTCGCAGATCCCTCTTTAAAATGTCTTAAACTCTTTTGTGACCTTCATTCAAGTGTACTATATGATCTAATTTCAAATTTGTATTATTTTCAGACCTAAATTTAATGAAGGGGGAGTCATCATTTGTTTCTCAAAAATGAAAAAGCAGTCTGTTAGTAGTAATAAATGCATCATCTTATGGGAAGGTTTTCCCTTTGTACTTACTCTACTTGCTTCAGTAAGATTTAGCTCAACCTATTCGGACTTAAGTGTTTCTGCGATATTGATCATCTTTCCTTGGACTTGTGTGGATTCTCTGAGATCCTGCGACAACTTTGCATACCAGTTTTACAGGCACTGTCAGTTCTTCTATACTCAGCAGGTGCCTTGAAATACTTTGTATTCAGCCTCCAATACTAAAAGAGCTGCTGAGTATAACACATCCATTTTGATTCTGAAGATGGGATTTCTGTCTCTTGAAAACATAAGGATATCTCTATAATCCTGAATTACCTCCATTGTACACATTGAAGGGCTGATGCTGCCCCTGAGCAAGCAAATCCATTGCAGTTAGAGGATACGAAGGACAATCAAGAGCAGCAAGATGAAAAATAGAGGTGCAGATACAGACAAAGAAACACTTACAGCATATTTATACATCAGAATGATGCATGGATAAGTTTTCATACAGGATTCTAGAGTTGCTTGTAATCTGTTACTTAGATCCTATACTCTACTGTAGGCAGTGGTTATTTCAAAAGTTGACATCTGAATTTGAGAAGGCATTTAGGAAATTCAGTGTACTCATTAAATAATTGGATAGCTAACACGGAATCTTAAAATATGAAAACTAGTGCTTTCTCTCTGAAATGTAGATTAATACTAAAACTTAAAACCAAGAGTTCTGAGACTATGGTGTGCAGAGGGGATGCAATTTTTCCCCATGGAGCCAAAGCCTTTTTATGTGTATGTTTTGGTGTATCTACCCTGCAGAACATAGGGCAGCATTAAAATATCTGAGTGGGTAATGCATTAGGCCCAAGGTCATAGAGGAGCTCTATGAAGGTAAATTTCTCTCTTCTTGGCATACTGATTTTTGTCACAGTATACTTGATGGTGCCAGTATTTCTGGCTCTGGGTACCCATGCTACACTGCATTCTGTGTCTTGGTTGTGGTAAGGGGAAAAATTTAATTTCTTTAACTTCTTAAATAATTGATAACTTCATTATAAAATTAAAAATATAAGTACAAACCATGTCCATGGGAAAGTAACTTATTAATGAGGTTATAGAGTGGCTACAAAATGAGCTAACCAAAATACCCTTTGGGCTATAACAAGCGTGATACTCACCTACACTGACTACTATTAATTACTGTGATTGATTTGGTACTGCACAGACAGGACAAATAGACTGCCTTAAATTTTCTTATACCCCTTTTTTTTGTTCTTACTGCAAGTCAGATCACCCTTAAGTTATCTGGTAATTCCCAGAATATACAGAGAGCACCATGCAGCAGCCATAGAAGCACATGCACAGTTCCACATACAAGAACCATTTGATAATGCATTTTAAGTCAGATCTCCCAGTAGCTGGAGGACAAAAAATGGTATACCGAAGAAACGTGTGGATGGCTGGCTGTGCTCCTGACAATGAAATGGTGTTATCAGTTAGTTGAAAGTTCATCTTCAGAAACGTTCTCTTCTAAACTGCTTCTTGTGTTACTGCTTTTGAAAAACAAAAATTGGTTAGCTTAGTTTATTAGATGAAAAGTACTGTACTTTAAGCTGCTGATGAAATAGCTAATGAAGTAACCGTAGTATATTACGTATTTATTAATGCAAAAAAATCCTCAGCTTTGATTTGTTCAGAAAAACACATTGAAGACTTATTTATAATGTGCTGTGTAAGCTAACTTGATGTTTCCAATTTCAAGCTCAAGTGAATTAGTACAAAAATTTTTATATGGATTTAGTCTAGCAAAAATTTGTCTGTTAGAAGAGTTCTCATCATACAGTCATTCAAATTTGAGTCATTCTACATAGGGTGGGAGGTATTTTCGCACTTAATATCTTGCCCTTTCTTTAGTATCAGCTTACAAAACATTAATCTACACATGTAACATTGCTAGATCATTCCTCCTTTATTCAGCTTTAAACAGATACAGTTTCCATTGCAGTGGCTTATAATCAGCCAGAATATGCCACTGTCCTAACTTAATTTCCAGTAATATCCTAATGTAGTTAGATGAATTGGTCTGCTATACTGAATGAACTACATAGATTTAGTTCTTGTTCCTAAAGCATGTGGGTTTTGAAGCTTTTCAATGTGTTTTGTTCCATGAAGAGTTTACAATTTTGTTTGGTTTTGTTTTAATAGGATCGAAAACTTCTTGCCACAGCTCAGCAGATGCTCCAGGACAGCAAGACAAAAATAGAAGTTATACGGATGCAGATTCTTCAGGCAGTCCAGACCAATGAATTGGCTTTTGATAATGGTGATGGAGTAGAAAGGAAATAAGAATCATTAATGTCAGAATGCCATGTAGATATGTACCCATATGCACACTGAGTTATCATAAATTTCTAGTAGGAATGTTAGACAAAGCTTGCATGAACCAAAAATAATCGGAGACTAGGCATACCACTGTGTGTGTTAGGATGCCAAATACATGTGACTTGAAGCAAAATACCTTAAGCTTAATGAAGAGAAATACAATCTCTCTTCATCATCCTTTTTATGCCTTATGCAGTGCATTTTTACTTTGTGGTCTTCATTCTCCCTTCATGCATGCTTTCTTTTGTCTTAACAATAACAAGTAATTTTCTTTAAAGCATATAATCTTTTTGCTATCCTAAAAAAAAAAAAAAAATCTGATGCAGATTCAAAGCCTGCTTGTGATACTTAAATAGATTGACCTTATTATTAGTAATGGGAGCACAGATGGAGGTGAATTTTTGCTCTCTTTATGGGTATTTAGGCTAGACTGAGTTGTAAACAACTATTTTGTAGTAAACAACTATTTTAAAAACAATTAAAAAACCAGTGGTTTTAAAACAACCTGACTTGAAATACTCATGCTGCATTTCAGAAGTAGTTTTAAACTTGCGTTTATTTTGAAATCTTTAAATAAATAAAAAAGAAAATTACCCTTGAGCTGTAATAGCATGAGTGTACTATAAAATTGTGGGCATATTGGTACATCTCTAAGTTTTGAACTTTACTCGTATGCGTTTCTGAGTATTGGAGTTGTATGACGATGCTCGTAATCAGGGCCTCGATATATCCTAGATAATGAAAAACCTGTGTGTGTGTGTGTGTTTTGTTTGGGGGGATGGGGGTGGTTTTCTTTGTTTGTTTTTACAATTAGGACACTTCTGGCTTTTTTTTTTTTAACACCTCATCTTAGCACATGGATTATGTGTATCATTTGTTCAAAAGAAAAAGAAAGGCATTCAAGCTAGAAAGGGCTTTCAAACGCCTTCAAATGCCTTTTTGTGTTCCTACTACACTTAGAGCTTTAAACAGAAAGGAATATGTCCAGGAAACTTTCTAATTCTGTTTAGGAAATCTGAACACTGTAAGAAATGGACATTAGAATGGTTAACCCAAATCATTTGGGGAAGGCAGTGTATGGGACCTCTTACATTCTCTGTGCTGGCAGGAGCCAGATTCCCTGGGATTTCGTGTGAAGCAGGAGAATTACCAGAAACTGATCAGGGATCTACTTAGCTACAGAGTAGCTTGAAAGATAAATCCTCAGAGCGTGGTTCAGAAATGTGGAAGTCTCAAAACCTCCTCTTGTCAGCTGAATGATGTTGGGGAGATTTGGCTTTTGTCGCTTAACTCCCCTGAGTACACGTTCTTTTTCTCACATCCTCTAGCAATTAGATTGAATTATATTGGCTAGAAGCCCTGATCAATTATTTCTTCCTTCAAATGCAGATGCTTAAAATTTCACTGTTGCTTTTGACATACCTCAAGCTTTTCTTTGGACTACCAAATATGCATCTCTCACTTATTTTTTTTTTTTCTTCTTTTTTTCTTTTTTTCCTCCCTTCCCCTCTGTTTGTGTGGGGGAGGGGTTAATATTAAAGAAATTAAACATGGGCATGGTCCTCAATGAAGATTTTTTGTTTATATCTCTTTGCAGCAAAACCTGTGATAAGCCCTCTTGAACTCCGAATGGAAGAATTACGGCATCATTTTAGGATAGAGTATGCTGTAGCAGAAGGTGCAAAAAATGTAATGAAATTACTTGGATCTGGGAAAGTTACCGACAGAAAGGCACTTTCAGAAGTAATTTACATTGTTACAATTTTTTATACTTTTATTTTAAATGTTTTTTTTCTCCAAAAAAAAATTGAAGTATTTCAATTTTCAAATTTTTTTTTTATTTTAAAAAGGCGCAAGCAAGATTTAATGAATCAAGCCAGAAGTTGGACCTTTTGAAGTATTCACTGGAACAGAGATTGAATGAACTTCCTAAAAACCATCCCAAAAGCAGTATTATTATAGAGGAGCTTTCATTGGTCTCTTCACCCACATTAAGTCCTCGTCAAAGTGTAATATCTACTCAAAACCAGTATAGTACACTGTCCAAACCAGCAGCTTTAACAGGTATGATTTATGGAGCTTATTTTATTTTATTTTATTAAATTGTTTAAAACAAGTTTTTAATGCCAACTTTATTTCTTTCTGGACATATTTCATTGTTGTTCTTTTCCTAGATAAAGGCATTTAGAATTTCCAAGTGTCTATGCGCCAAAAAAATACAGATAAGTTTCTTTGATTTATTTGTTGACCTTTCTATAATCCTATTGAAAAAGTGAAGTTCTGGCTTTAAGTTAGGTGAACTATGGAACACTATTACTGGCGTTTACCTAACGCCTTTCATCTTTAGATTATCAAGCACTTTAAAAGGTGGGTAAGTATCATTATCCCCATTTTACAGATAGGGAAACTGAGGTGCAGAAGGGTTAAGTGGCTTGCCCTGCTCATACAAGTAGTCAGTGGCAGAGCTGGAGATAGGCACCCAGCTTTTCTCCCAGTCCCTGTTTTACCCATTGGACCACACTGCCTTCCTAGGTGGTGAGATTTATGCTACCAAAACATGCGTTATATTTCTAAACCAAAGAGGGAGGTCCTAACAAACGTGCATGGAACTATTGAAGCCTCTGTTTATTGGTTTGAATTGTTTTCCTTGCAATTAAACATGGAGACTTTTTTTTTTTTAAGAGACTGAGCCTACTGTGAGGGAACAGTACATTTATATATAAATATAAGACTTAGGAACTTCTCATAGCTTGGGTTCACCTGGAATTGTTGTCTTCATTGGAAGTAAACTGTTTCAAGAGCTGAGCTATGCTTTAACAAAACTCTTAAAACATTTGCCTTCCAGCATTCTTAAAGAAAAGCAAATACTTTTGACTGCTTGGGGGTATGTTGCTTTACTAAATTTACTTAGTAAGTGGTCATATAAGCATTACTAATACAGATAGGTTTGGGTTTTTGTTTTGTTTCCTAAAACATTTTACATGTAACTATTAAACCAACTATTAACAACCTGTAATTCAATGTTACTCTGGTTATACATGTATAACTGAAACCAGAATTTAGTTTTGAAGTACTGCAGGGTTATATTTTAAAACAAAAAGAGGAACTTTCCTGCTGAGCTGCAATAATAATAAAATGGAGCTAGTCTACTTGTCTTCCATTTTGGTTTGGTAAGACATGTAGCAAAGGGTAAAAAGCATCAGGACCTCAGCTGAGAGCCCTGTAAAGTTGCAGAGTGGTGAGGGGAACTTGTTCATCATATGGAATCTCAAATGATCAGGGACCATGGGCAGGAAGTATCGTGTCTTGGTTTTAAAACAGCTGGTTTTGGTTTTGTTTTTTTTTTATTCTTTTCCTGTAATACATAATCATGGGTCAGATACATTATAGTGACAAATACTTCTTCTTTAAACGTGATTTATTAATACATATGAACAGTTTCTAATAGGACTTATCAAAACAGAGCTACATGCTTGCGAAGTTCTTAATAGTTTCATTTTCATATTGGCTACACAAAGAGCTTTTGTATTGAACTGGCTTTAAATGAACAGTGTCTTTGTGTTTTGCCTCTAACACTGTGAAAAACAGATCAGTGCTACTGTCATACTTTTTAAAGTGCATCAATGGAACTTTTCTAAAATGCATCCAGTCCTTACACAAGATTATAGCCTTTCTGCTTATTAATTTCTTTTTTTTTTTTTTTTTTTTTTTTTTTTTTTTCTAAACAGAATTTGGGAACTAAGTATTCTTTTACCTTTTAACCTCTTTTGGGATCCAATAGCATCTCTTTGTCTTCATAGCCTAATGCTTAGCTGTCACTTACAGCTGTTAGTTCCCTACAGGATGGGATTTCTTCTCAGACTGGTTTCTTGGTGTCTGTTCTGTGGGCTGTAATGTTGCCAGACCATTTTTAGATCAAGTCTGACTTAAGTTTCTGTTACAAAAGAGTACTTTGAAGTTTCACAGTAAAGTACATTTGTTGTCAAAAGAACGCTGCATTTAGGAGCTGCATTTCTAGCTGACAGTATGATTATGAACTAGCTAATTTCATCACTTCTAATAGTTAATTTTGTTAGTGTCAGTGGTGTCACGGTTTTACAGATGTGATCTTATACAGGATGAGGTAAGCCTACCGTTCTAGTAACCATCTGTGGTATTCAGATGTTTCTGGGCTGCTGGAGGAAACTCTTAAATTAGAACAGCAGCCTCTGTACCTCATTTGGTTAAAGATGTAGAAGATTTTGAAGAGTAGCCTCTTGTCTCAGCTTTTATAAATCCAAATTCAGTCAAGTTGGAACAATTTGATTATTCTAAATTATGTATTAACTCAGATTTGACTTTAGCATGCAGCAGGCAAATGTGATTTCTGAATGTACCTTAAACAAATTCGTAGTCTCAATAGTCAATGTGTTCATTTTAATTACTGAAACAATGTATCCAATATTAATTGGCTTTATAAAACTCATGAAAAATTCTTATTGTCCCATCTGCAATATCTATTGTTTTAATAAGAAACTTAAGATTTGTCATCGTAAAAAGTGACATTGCTTACAGCTTGAACGCAAGTCAGTTAGGTTCTCAAGTGAAGAAGACAGAGACATGGAACAAAAACTTAATTTGTATTATTTTGGTGAACTGCTGCTCCTTCTAGAAGGTTGAGTCCCACATATTTGACTTCTAATGCTTATTTTCAGTGTACTTGTCTGTCTTGGATCTGTCTTTTGATTTCATCTGGTATTTCTGTTATACCCTGCAGGGGTCAGAATGTGAGCTGTTGTCATAAATCAATCATTTGTCATTCACTTTGTTTACTTAAGAACAGAAATCTTTGATAAATCATTGTCTATCTTGTTCCAGGTACTCTGGAAGTTAGGCTAATGGGCTGCCAAGATATTTTGGAAAACGTCCCTGGTCGATCAAAAGCCACATCGATTACGCTACCTGGTTGGAGCCCAAATGAAGCCAGATCATCTTTCATGAGCAGAACCAGTAAAAGTAAAAGTGGGAGTAGTAGAAACCTTCTGAAAACTGATGACTTGTCCAGTTCAGTATATTCTTACTTCTCTTATTTTTATGCATATCTTTTACTTACATTTTAATGTGCATGCTGTGTTCTGTAATTTAAAATACCAAATTGATTTGAAGCTTTAAACTTATTTGTTCCTTCATTTATTGTAAAAAAAAACCAAACAAAAAAAAAAAACAAAAAAAACCACCAAAACCACAACACTACTATGCCCATAAGAACCAATTAAATGTGAGATTACATTTTTAAGGGAAACTTACTGAAGACTTTTTTGTTTGTGGAAAATCCTCTTAAAGATTTAAGCTGAGTTTGTGTACTTTACTTACAGATGAAGTCTGTGCTGTACTGAAGCTGGATAACACTGTGGTTGGTCAAACTAGCTGGAAACCTATTTCCAATCAGTCATGGGATCAGAAATTTACACTGGAACTAGACAGGGTAAAAATGTGGTTTTACTTCATTGACAGCTATAGTCAATTCTTTAGATTAGTTACATGTTCGGTTTGGGTCTTTTCCCCCCCTGCTGTGATTATGTTCAAATTTCATATGTGCAAGTATTCCCATCCTTAACAGAATGAGCTCCCTGGGATTAACCTGTTATGCTGGGCTGGCGTTCTAGAAATTTTACCTTTTCTGGCCTACAAACTGACATACTGTGTTTATCCAAGAGCTAACACTTAGCATCTTCTTGGCCTGTGACAGATAGTGTTTAAATTTTTATTAGGATCATCAACTTCTCATTATTTATCAGTAAATTCTAATATCAGATACAGTTTGGATATTTTGGTAAAGCTATGTCAGAATTTTTACAGTGCTTCTGTAAAAGTTTTCTCATGTCAGGCTGATCAATTCTTCAGGAATAATAAATAAATTCACTAATAGCTCTTTCCTAGAACTTTAAATGTTTCTTGGAGGACTCGAGTATCAAAATGATACTTGATGTTTCTTTCCTCACACCTTTTGAAGAGAATTTGTTATATAGGTTTAATCAAGCATTTGTTTTTTAGATACCTGATAGTCATAGTATTTTAAGGTACAAGGATTTTTTTTTTTTCGTCAGTGTTTAAAATAGCCTGAAAACTAGAGTATATTTTAGGAGCCTAAATGTCATCTCCAGTACATATTCAAAACAAATGAGAGAAGAAAAAAAAAAAAAAGCCACCTTCCTGGTTTTGCTCTCTCTCCACCTCACCCCACCCCTCCGAGCCCCAAACCAGATTCTTTCTATCTAGGAAGGAAGCAGTTTTAGACCTGCAGGCAGAGAAATTCAGGTTCCGGTTAGAAGTAGTGCACAACAAAATTAGCAGCTGTGCAGTCCTGAAGCCTTGATTATTCTCGGATTAAGACTAGAACTAGTCAAAGTTTAGTACCTGCTCCTACAAGCCTAGTATGTGTCATGTTTGCTATTTAAGAACTCAATATTAGATGCCTTTTGATGCCAGAAAAGGACCTTGCTGCTGCTGGGTGTGACCACGCATCCTTCTGTATTTGAAATGCACATTCCAAATCCCATCATTTTTTTAATCTGTCCTCCTTAACTTTTGTTTCTTTTAAAACCTACAGCTATCATTTAAAGACAGTAAATTGATGCATCATGATGGAATTAAACTATTCTAACAACTTAGTAACATACAATGCTGCTGCTGTACTGTATTGCAGGATTCTTCACATTTTTTAACAAGCTTTTGTAACAAGCATATAAGACATCTTAAGAATATATAAGTCCCAGCAGCAAGATGTAGCAGTAGTTCTTTTTAGTTTAAAGTTTTTGGCCCTCTTCACGACCATGTTACAAAAACTGTATGTATTTCTAGAGATACTGTATAAAGTCTTGCATCATGATATGTATGCAGGTACTAAAATGTCACTATGCAGCCGTGAAATGCAATTGATACTTGTAAATAACATGGAAAACTAGTAAAGCTGAGGTTTCTAAACACAGGTAAAAATTTGTTGTCAGAGCTTGAGCTAAAAGAACTTGAACTATCACTTTTGTTAGGCTGACTTAGAAAGTCTGGTGACTGTTTGTGACTCTCTCCTACTCTTGGGGGAATTTTACACTTATACTTTTATTTGGACACTGGCTATCACATCTGAACAGAAGTGAAATGCTATGCTTATCCTAGCAAGAGCTTGCTCAGTATGGCTAGCTAGCCCTGGCACTCTTTTAAAGTAACAGCTCTGCATCTTGATCCTTGAGTTGCTAGACCTTATGATTGTACAGAGGTGACTCTTCCAGAACAATTACTAATAAGTAATTTACTGTATACATGTTGCCTGTTGCAGTCACGTGAATTAGAAATCTCAGTTTATTGGCGTGACTGGAGATCTTTGTGTGCAGTAAAGTTTCTGAGGTTGGAAGATTTCCTGGATAACCAACGGCATGGCATGTGTCTCTATCTTGAACCGCAGGGCACTCTGTTTGCAGAGGTAAGAATGTTTCTTCAAAGCACTTGAGCATAGTTCCAAGTATTATATTGCAGAATAGTCTAAGAAGTTTTTCTTAAACTTTTAAAAATGCATTTTGTTCTGAAACTTGAATTATAACACACGTTATTTAAACTGCAGGTTACGTTTTTTAATCCAGTTATTGAAAGAAGACCAAAACTCCAGAGGCAGAAGAAAATTTTTTCAAAACAGCAAGGTGATTGTTTAATATAAATATGTAAAGCTTAAAAAATTGTACAGACCTGTGATATTTTTTATACAGAGACCTAATATTTGCCTGTGAATAAAGCTGTTGATAATGATTTGGCATTGCATTTAGAAATGTTTTGTTTCAGAATTTCTCATTATGCATTAGCATTTAATAGTGAGTAATTAGGAATTGCGAAGGAATATGACAAATTCAGTTTGTTCTTCATAAACTATAAACTGATTAATATGAAATTTTTTTAATTATAGCTTTTGGTAATAAGTAAGGAAATTACATGCACTCTGTTTTCTTTTTTTCACAATATCCACAGGCAAAACATTTCTCAGAGCTCCTCAGATGAATATTAATATTGCCACTTGGGGAAGGCTGGTAAGAAGAGCTATTCCTACAGTAAATCACTCTGGCACCTTCAGCCCTCAAGCACCGGTGCCTGCTACTGGGCCAGTGGTTGATGCACACATTCCTGAACTAACACTGCCAGCCAGGTAGGTGATACTTACAATTTTTAAGTATGTTTAAGAGCAAGAGTAATGGTGAGATGCTCATGCCCTAATGTACGTAATATATGTCAAATCTATTTATTCTGCAAGACCGCAGACTTTTCAATGTTTTAATTTTGGACATCCATTTCATAGTCAGATCTACACACGCAAGACTTGTTTTACGAGAAATCTACATAACATGCAGTTTTAAGTTCGTTTTCATACTATTAAAACAGTCTCTGCTATACACTGAGGAGTTACTTATTCTCTTGCCAGTGACTCTCCTGTAGCCAAATTGGACTTCGAACTTGAGCCTGAACCTCCACCTGCTCCACCCCGTGCATCTTCCCTTGGGGAAATATGTGAATCTTCCTCTGAATTAAAGGCTCCTGATGTGCCATCTCAGGCAAGTAACTAAGAATTTTGGGCTATGCCATTTAACAAGGTTGTGATATTGGCATCTTTATGATGGATTTCTTCCCTTATATTTTAGCATATGATCCCTTAACTTACAGAATTATCTCAACAGAATGTTCCAATTACTCTTAGTGGCAAACTGTTTCCATGGTTGGTATGTTTAATTCTCCGTGTCATTGGTTCCACCACAGAAAAAACAAAAGCCAGAAATCATTAGAGTATTCAGGAGAAAATGATTTTATGAACAAAGAGCAGAATGACTGGAGCAATAGGTTTCATCAGTCTGTTAGAAGCTTGCTTATCTGTATCATCTTTAAGTATAACATTTTAGCTTAGATAATTCTTGTGTTAAGAAATTCACATGCTTATAGTAAAATTTCTGCATTCATTTGCTTTCACAATAAGTTTTAAATTCTCAGACTTTTTTTTCTTCACAGGATGAAGTAACAACTTTTGATTTTGAAAATGGCAGAAATAGTATTGTCCCAAAACTCCAGCCTGAAATAATCTGTGAGCCTGATGCTCCCCATTCAGACAAAAAATATACCAACACCCGAGAGCCTGAAGATAGAAGGTAAAAATGCAGTGGTTTGCTGTTGATCTGAATAATATTTCTTAAAGTTAACAAACTAGAAGATTTTTTGACTGTTTTTTTATTTACATAGATCACAACAGAGATTTCAATTCAGCCTGAAGGATTTCAGATGTTGTGCTGTACTGGGCAGAGGACATTTTGGAAAGGTAAAGGTCAAAAGGCTGTATCAAATGTCAAGGCTGTATCAAAAACTAGAACAGCTCTTAAATGAATTGCGTATCTTCTGTTTTAGGTGCTGTTGGCAGAGTACAAAAACACAAATGAGATGTTTGCTATTAAAGCCTTAAAGAAAGGAGATATTGTTGCTCGTGATGAAGTAGACAGGTCAGTTTGTAAAATATAATACATGGATTCCATAAATTGTGTTTTCTTTCTGCATGCAACACAACTGTAAGCTCTACAAACAGTAGTTAAATTCAGTGAAAGAGCAAAACAAGTTGTCATCTCCCTGCTTAGTTGGCTGCTGGAGATGTGTAGTCTTTCTTCTGGGGCAAGGAGGGAGCAGTGTAGCCCAGGAATGCTGATTTGTTCTAGTGCCTCTCTTACCATGCCTGTACTATAGCTCTGACTTAAAGCTGATCCTGTTTTTCATTTTGGTTCTCTTGCAATTTTTTATTCTAATTACTTGTTGTATGGACTTCCATCAGATTTCAGGAGGACAGTGACTATGTTTTCTTTACTGGCAGAAACACCTATGATAATATTTCTCAACCTGTAACATACTGTCATACTTTGTCCATCGTATTTTCCCTTAAGTCCTGTGTATGCTGCACTGTTGGGGTTTTTTTTAATCTTTTTGCCCCAAAACTCAGATTTTTCTTTGCTTGGAAGTGAAGTGGCAGTTACAAAACTGTATAGTTTTAGCACAAGAACATTCATTTGACTTGCAGGAAGAAAGATAACTGTATTAAGAATAAGCTACAAATTAACCATTTGTCTTAAGGAGAAATAATCTGGAATTACTATAGATAATGTCTATAATATTGTTACTGTTTTTCCACTTTATGTGTTTTATACAATTAAAATGAAAATGGATTGAAGCTAATGTCACATGGTATCAATGAATACTTGATGCAAGTCTGAGTATTTGGAAGGAAAATTGGCAGGGTACAATTTTCATGGACTGCTAGGTTTACTTTTTTGTTTGTGAAAGCTAAATGTAACTTTGTGGAAATGCTGGCATCAGCTTAATGTGTGTGCAAGTATTAAAACCTCTGTCTTGAAACAAAAAAAGTTCTGTTCTTATCCTGAAGGACAGAGGAAAAAATATAAGGTATAAATCACCAATAGTTTCTGGGAGTTGAAAAATTGTGGTTCAGGATTCAGCCTTAAATTTCTACTGATTTTTCTGTTTGCAGCTTGATGTGTGAAAAGCGAATATTTGAAACTGTGAATAGTGTAAGACATCCCTTCTTGGTGAACCTTTTTGCTTGTTTCCAAACCAAAGATCATGTTTGCTTTGTAATGGAATATGCTGCTGGGGGGGATCTGATGATGCACATTCATACTGATGTCTTCTCTGAACCAAGAGCAGTGTGAGTATCCATTCCTTTTTGTGGCATTAAGTGAAGGGCATTTTGTTCAGTGGATAAGAACCAAGATCTTTATCACCACATGCCTCTACATTATGTCATTTCAGTAAATACTGTTCAAGTTTGTAAAAGGGTCAGAGATTCTAACTCTTTTTGTCAGAAAAAGACATATGCAGGTTTAATGTGCCTGAATCTACACTGAATTCAAAAATTATATGCAAGTATTTAATGCTTATAATACTTTTTTAAGGTTACATTAAAAAGCTAAATGAAAAGTTAAAATAGCAGATAAGGCTAAAAAAAGGAAAGGATAAGCCAAATTGGAAATCCTTCAATGCCATAGCAGTGGACACTACAGAAAATTTATCCTGCAGGCTGAGTGACCATACTACAGCTCAAAAGCTGCAAGTTTAAGCATTTTTGCCATCTGGCTTTAAAACTCTGACCTTGTATAAAACTAATCTGTACCTGAAAAAGCAATTGGTAATCTTCAGAGGATGGTTAATACAAAAAGATCAAAAATAATGGACTTCACATTCTGAAAGCAAGACTAAAATCCATTGAAATTTTAACTTTTTCAACAGATTCTATGCTGCATGTGTGGTTCTTGGACTTCAGTATTTACATGAACACAAAATAGTATATAGGTAAGTAGTCATTGACCATTTCCAACAGATGAATTTCAGCTGTTCTGAATAGCACTGAAGAAACATCAGTGATGCAATTTTGTTCATTTAGAGATTTGAAGTTGGATAACTTATTGCTGGACACAGAAGGCTTTGTGAAAATTGCTGACTTTGGTCTTTGCAAAGAAGGTAATGGCCCTTCAATTTTCTTTCTAGGGGAATTCTATAGTCTGTCTTACTCTTGACTGTTCCTTGAGACTTTTAGACTGCCAAATGCATATAGTGTATACTTACCCTATATCATTTGAAGGAAAAAATACATTTCTGACTACAAACATGGAGCTAGGAGGAAGTTCCTTAGTAGGGAAATATCAGGAGCATCTGAGCATAGCCCTATTTTTTTAATTTATTTTTTTCAGTTGTGAGCAGCACCTATTCTGATTCTTACTTCATCATCTCTCTGCTTATGAATAAGGCATACTGCTACATTTTATAAGTTAGCAGAAAAAGCATTAGGTGTTTGTCCTCATTCTAAGCACGTTGACACTGTACAGTGAAATCAAGTACCATTATAATCCATACCTCACTCTTTTTGCAAATTCATTATCTATTTTTTTTAAATCTGAAATAGTTGCAACTCTAAGTATGTGGTAATTACATGCAAAGTATACTATAGCTAAAATAGAGAAATTTATCCCCAAAGGGAAGCCTAGATGCTAGGAAGTTACTTTCAGGGGTCCCACTACTGGAAACTACCTTTCAAAGAAGACATAAAATAGAGGTAGCAACTGAAAGTGCAGTGTCTTTCTCAAACCCCTTTGTAGGGGGAAGATCCAGAAAGGTCCATTTCCTTCTCCAATTTGTATAGCCTGTCCTCTGTATCTTTCCCTTTGAGATAGCCTAAGAGGGAATTTAGTAAATTCAGTAAGCGTTCAAACATTACTGTTGTCTTCAATATCCTAGGGCAAGTCCTGTGACTTTAGCTACAAACAAGTTCCATAAATGACAAAAGGAAACAAGGACAAGGAAAGCTCTTTGGTTTGCTGACTACTGCAATAAATGTTTTTCTTAAGCTTTCTGCAGCACCTCCACTTGCAGTGTCACATCAGTCCTTGTGGTGCTGATGTCCCAAACTGTGCCCCTCTTGCAAATATACAGGGCTTATTTTGCTTGAAGTTGTTTCACTGTGCTCCATGTTTTACTTTACTATACGTAGTTTTGCCACTACAGAAGCATCCATCGTAGGCAGGTTTGACTAAACTAGCGTACCACACTTTCTTCTACTAGCTAGTAGAAATAGAGCATAAGATTGTTTGTATCTTTCCGAGCAAAGACAACTGGGTGACAAGGTGTAACTGGAAGCTTAATTTGGCTCACTGCATATAGTTAGGGATAGAAAAACTTACACTAAAGCATGTATGGGAGGGAAGAATGGGGGAATGTTTTACCTCATTGGCCTGAGCCTCCAGGGCAGGCCCTGGAACTACAGTATCAGCTGAAGTTGCTCTAGAGAGAGGTTTTACTTGCTGGAGGAATAGGTTGTAGAGTGGCAGAAAATACTGCTTGCTTTTCATTATCTGTAACTTTTCAGGAATGGGATTTGGAGACAGAACAAGCACGTTCTGTGGCACACCGGAATTTCTTGCTCCAGAGGTGCTGACAGAAACTTCCTACACAAGAGCTGTAGACTGGTGGGGTCTTGGTGTACTTATCTATGAGATGCTAGTGGGTGAGGTAAGTTCTAGAAGATACAATGGAGTCATAAAACTAATGTATGTTGAAAAGGTTACAAAACTCAAGGTACTAGCCTGTCAACATGTAATATGCCCTACCTGTCACAGTTGTATCAATACTTGTATATACAGTATGTATAGGCATACCTAGTTTTACCATAAGCATCTTAATGTGTTTCATCAAGAAGAAGTAGTATTAAACACTGAGCAGCTACTTACCTGCTACTAGCTGCTGTAATGCCACAGAAGTTGATGAGTTGTGTCATGAGCTTGAATTATCAGCAGTTGTGGAAGTGAATGAGTTGTAGCTGGTCCAAGATTTAAACTCTAGATTTTTGTTTGTTTTTAATTACATCATTATGCCTTAAATCAAATTACAGTAATGGCACATTAATATCAGTGTCTCTAAGCAAGAACATAGCACATCTGGTTTTGGGGAGCTCAGTTTCCAGCACACATCTGTTGTCATCAAATTTGGATGCGTACAGCTATAGCAGTCTTCTGCTTTCAAATGCTTTTGGAGGGAAAATGAACTCCTTAACTCCTGTAGCTTGAATGGAAGTGAACTTCAATGCATAAAACTGGATAGTAGTGAAAGATTATGCCAAACGTAATGCTGTTTACCATTTGAATCACACATGCACTAAACCAGAATGCCCCAGTTCCATGTAAATGAGCTGGTATAAATAAATTATTATTTACTAGTTATTAACCATTGTGTGTATTGCTTTACCTTCTGGTCCATTTTGTTATAGTATCTCCCGGGTAGCACAGTGGTGGCTGACGTGCTAAAAACTGGAGAAAAACTATAGATTTGCTCATCGTTTTTATTCTTTTTTGAAAAAAGATGATCATTCAACTTTCACTTCCTTTCAGGTAAAAAAAAGGACAAAAAGCTTGTAGGGTGTTGCCTACATCGGTCAGGCCACTTCAAAAAAGTTTGAAAACCCTTGAGCTGTAACATGCTAAAGATACTACAAAAACAAATTAGTCTTGACCACATTACTTGTGAATGGCAGCTGTCCCAAAGAAGAACGGATACGTACTTTCCACCTTCCCTGTATATCTTGTGTCAGAGTTCAAAGAAGATCCCAGTTTTAGGTGTTCCTAATTCTAAAAGCACATTTTTTAAAGCCTAGTCCTTCAGTAAGAATTAAGGGATAATACCAACTTGCCTTATTTTTCTGTCTTCCTTATGGAAACTACCGTATCTGTCTCCAGGAAAAGGAAGTCTTCATTTCAGGGTGTCTAATTCCAAACTGTCTGCTGAATATACATTGTTTCCAATCGTAAGTGATTTTTAAGCCTGTTTAATATTATTTTTTTATTACTTTCATTATAGTCTCCCTTCCCTGGAGATGATGAAGAGGAGGTGTTTGACAGTATTGTAAATGATGAAGTAAGATATCCACGCTTTCTGTCTACAGAAGCCATCTCTATAATGAGACGGGTAAGAACATAATAATAATATTACAGCATTCCCCTCTTATCCTGTTTCCTCTCCAACATTAAGGAAATTAATTGCTTTTGTGAGGAACAAAATACTTTAAGAACGTATACTTGGTATTTTTTTCTACAATTAAATTTCAGACTTGCTTCATTTATGCTGTGCCATGCTGCCTGTCACCTTAAAGGAAGATTGTCAGGGCCGTTCCACTTTATTTGGGAGCAAGTTTTCTATTTAAAATATACAACACTAGAGGTTCTGCTTTCTTCCTGAACTAAGTTTCCTAGTTGTATCAAACTGGAGAAGTTCAGCGCTCTTTTTTCCTAGCAGAACACTGCTGCATTGACCTATTTGGTAGATTAACAGTCACATGCGTATTTTAATTCAAAGACTTTTAAATCATTTTGGTTTCTTTCCAACTGGGGCAGGGAACACCGTACACATGGCATCTGTAGTCCCATTCTTGGCAAAGAACAGCTGATTTTGTTTATGATTGTTATTAGTCCTATTCCTTAGTGTAATGCCTCTACTTATCTAAAGAAGATGCTACAAGCTGTCTAAGTTAGAAGCTTATCACAGTTGATAAAAGGCATCTACTGGAGGTGATTCAAAGCCTTTGGAAGAAGCCTCTTGACTTAAATGTCTGACACTGAGTATCAGTCTAGCACCCAATTCAGCAATGTGCAGCAGCATGTAAGTTAAAGCATGTCACAGTAGTTACTGTGACATAAGTATTCAAGTAATAGCATAAATATTCTGTAGCTTAAAATGATTGCTTACTCCTAGGGAGAGAGTGGTTTTCTACAGAAAGAAGGAAGAATGCAGTTTTAAGGCAGTACCTGGGGAGCGTATTTTTACTGTGAAAATTAGCATGCTGATATCCACAGGGGACTGCTGCACTGCACCCAAAATATGTGTACCATGAACTCTGTGCTCACAATTCACTAGTTGTAGCTGTGCGTGCACTGCTCCTGTCTGAGAAAGTCTTGCATAATATAGTAGACATTATTTTTTGATGGCTGCATCATGAATGTATCAACCCCCCCTGATGCTCGGCACTCTGCGCGGAACAGGGGTCTGCTCACAGCAGCATGATTCACAAGCAGGAGCATCTAACTTCTGTTGTTAACTAGAAAACCCTTTTATTTTGCTGGGTGTGTAAAGCAGCATTCACCGTCTCATGGTAACCAACTGCTGTGAAATAGCCGGGCACAGGAGAGAGCAAAGTCATCTCTCTTCTGAGCCAAGCCAGAAATACTAGCTTATGTAAATTCTGTATCCTCTCCAGCAAAAAGCATGCTTTTCAATCTGTGGTGAACACTAGCCCCACAAATGACCTCAGGTAGCAAGATCTGCAGTGGGACAGATGAGTCTGCTGTCTGTGTTCACAGCTAGGCTGCTGGTGGAACTGTGCTAACACGTTCAGGCATCTCTACAAGAGCACTGCTATCTCTAGCTCTGTACACACGAAGTTTTGACTTCCCCTTTCTTTGAGAACCAAGAATTTTCTGTAGGTCAGGCAGTATGAATGTCACTGTTCATCTAATCTTGGTGTTGGCTCTTACACAGTAGCAGTCGTCCTCCCTAGTTCTTCCCCCTGCCTCTAAATTTTTGCACTGAAATCTCTTGCATGTTTTGTCAGCTGCTACGAAGAAATCCAGAGCGGCGTCTTGGAGCAGGAGAGAAGGATGCTGAGGATGTGAAAAAGCATCACTTCTTCAGGGTAAGTACAAACTAGTATTATTTCTAAGGCCACTATGGAGTAGAGACAGGAAACTAAACATCAATTGGTTTATTTTACAGCTAATAGATTGGAATGCTTTGCTGGCCAAGAAAGTGAAGCCTCCTTTTGTACCCACCATTAGAGGACGAGAAGATGTTAGTAATTTCGATGACGAATTTACCTCTGAAGCACCTATCCTCACTCCACCTCGGGAACCAAGGATACTTTCAGAAGAAGAGCAGGAAATGTTCAGAGATTTTGATTACATTGCTGATTGGTGTTAACTTCTAGACACTGTGAAACCCCAGCTGACTGGCTCACAAGAATGCCTGTCTCAGAAGAATACCGACCCTTCAATTGCTCTCTGTGCCACCTGTAGCTTCTGGGTTTTTTTAAATCACATGAAGATCCTTTTAAGTACTGTTTTAACACTCTTGTGAAGAGTGGCCTCTGTACATTGTTTTTTATCTGAGCACTGGAAAGCAGGTCTATGGAGTTCTTAAGCTGAGTTGGTGAACCTAGGCTGTATTAAGCTTCTCACACATGGGCACACGTGGATCTGTACTGTTTCTCTCACTCTTCCACAGCAGATAACATCGCTTTTTAAAGTATCTGCCTTAAGTGGGAAAAGCAGACTTTGAGCTAGGTAATCGCTTATCTCCAGTCAGTCACATTGAAATACAAGTTTGGGATACTGATGACACTCACACAGAACATGGTTCTAGCTGGAGAAGGCAAATGCTTTCAGTTTAATATTAATCTTGTGCAGTCTGTAAAACTACACGTTTCTATGTACACCTTCATCTTGTGTTCTTAAAATAATGGTATGGAGAACAGATATGCCTTGTTTTGTAAATTTTCTATGGTATTTATTAGGAAAAATGTTAAACACCTTGCCTTTGAGATAACAACAGTGTAAGTGCTTCCATTACCAAGAAAAATCCGGAAAGTTTACCAAAGCCACTTGCCAAACAGTTTTGCCTTCAAGCTTTTTAAGCATGGCTTAAAACCCTGGTTGATATGAAGAATGTAACAAGGATGTTGCTCAGTCTAACCACAAAGAGTAAGGCATATGCATTTTCCAGGCCCATGCACTCCTGTACTCAACCTCATGCCTTCCCCACTCGCCAAGTGGACAGTTAAGTTAACCAGTCTGTATCTAACCACCTAGATCATCCTGTATCTGCTGTACAATATCATATCACTTTTACAAAACATAAGGATTTTCAATGTATACATGCTGTGAACATGTATATTTGGAAGTTGTAATGTATTCTTATGTCCAGGCAAGTAATTTAATTATACCACTTCATTAATTTTGCACAGTGGCCAAGTGAACAACACACAACTCTGAGTGGAAAAAATATTTGTATACATACAGGCCACAGAACTCCAGAACTTAGATTGGCAGTTACTGAGGGTAAAAGCAATATATTGTAACAGAATGTATAAATATTTTTGATAAAAACAGTGTATATTTTATAAACCCCTTAACACTAAAAAGCTGTACCTCAAAAGTTGAAAAATAATTTAGACCAGACACTGTGCATGTTTGTAAACCAAGACCTATTTTTGGCATCTGGTGTTCTGTGGGCAAACATTAATTCTTAGAAAACCAATTTCCCACATGGTTCTTAGCTCTAGTACCATTCAGAGCTGATTGCATATGTAATCTCACAGGAGGTTCATCCTAGCCAGGAGTTTGCTGTTCATGGGCTAAGACAGTGAAAATCAGCACTCAAATGAATTCAATATTTGTAATTTTATTCATTAAAAGAAGAAATGCAAACCATTTGAATATGCAGTGCTAAGGTGGTTGTTTAAAATCTTGATGCTGGACAGACCTGCAGGGTCAGGCAGGGGAGAGGCTTAGGCAAGGAAAAAAAAAGTTAATAGGTCTAAATCAAGCATTTCCCCTCCCCCCCCCCCAGGAACAAGACAGGCATCTTTACCAGTGCTACAAATCATGTTGGGCAGAGTGAGTCAACTTTTCAGCATTACTTATTTCCAGATTCTAATTAATAAGCAAATTATGTTCCTGTATCTAGCTGAAACCAATACTTTTGAGGTACAGTGAGCTCACCCTTTTTGGTTCCCAAATATATATATGAGCATCTAACAGGGTGCTTAACACTTATGAAAGTATCCTCAAAAATATCTTTTTGTAACTATGTCTTGTACAGAAATCTTTTTTTTAATCTAAGTAAATCACTAAAAAAAAAAAATAAAAATTAGAGGGCAGGGGAATTTCACCCAGTTAAGCTGAAAGAAAGCACTAATTTTATCTCTGTAGTTTTTTAAATATTTTTAGGCAGATTAAGATTTTAAACCCTAGATTGTAAATATATTTTGCTATACTTTATCTGTATGTGGCTGCTCAAGCACTTTGTAAGGAAATTAGGATATTTTAGAATGGTACACTATGCATTAAAATGAAATGTGCCTTTAACAAATGTCATTCTAAGTGTTTTGCAGTCATTAATATCACAAATTAAAGTTCTAAATAGAGTAATTTGTAAATTGTGTCCTAAACATGATTTTGCTGTTTCTTGGAAGTGATTTGTCATGTTTTCTCCACAGGTAACTTCAGAAAAGAACTTGGACTCAGGAAGGGACTTATAGAAACCCAGTCTCTTAGTGGTAGCTTAGTGTACTTCCATTCATTTTTTAAAATAACAAAATAAATAATTATCTCTGAGCATACCTTCTTTCTGAGGCTGGAGGAAGGTAGCCTCCCCTTGATTGGGTGATCAGCCCTTCTGAAGGGAGCAGAAGACCATGTCTGTTGAAGTCTGGCCAGCTTCAATCAGCATTCTCCCGTCATAGGCTTCCTTTGAGCACATGGGGAGACAACACTTACTCCCCTCCTGGGTGTTTCTTCCATTATAAGTCTCTTTCTTCCCCCCATTATACAGGAAAGCTCTGTAAACGAACAAAAACCTATACCCAACCCTCAATGAGCTTGTTCTTTAAGCAGAGAACAAAGCTTTCTTTTCTGATGCATTTAGCAAATAAATCTTTACTCTTAAGAACAAACTAAAATTTCATGAGACCATAGCCTAGAGCTGCTTCAGTTCAATACCTAACTAAGCAATCCTGCCAGAAAGGGCTGGCTCCAAATGAAGATACAGTTTCAAATACCTAGTCTAAACTGCTGCTGAATTAACATAGGAGGTACCTGAAGATGCTATGCCCTTGCCTTTGTTGTGTGTGGGGAATGCAATCCTTCAGCACTCCTGTCTTCTCCCAGGCTCACTGCTGAACCACCTCCCAGCAACAACACACACGCATTTGCAGAGAACCCAAAACCTATTAACACCTGAACTGTAGCTAGTCTCCTTGCTTTCACTATAGGGTCTAGTTGTCACACAGCCTTTGCTACCACTTAGCTTTGGTAACACAAGAAGGTAGCAATTAGCTAAAAACAGGCTACAGAGCTGCAACAACCTCCTCTCCAGCTCCCCCACACCTATCCCTGCAAGCCCAAGAACTGCTGGTGTACTGTACACACAGCTGCACACAGACATCCCCCACACTGCCAAGAAGTGCTCCAGTCAGGAACAAGGAGAGCTCATTTCTGCATGAGAAGCTTCTAAGGAAAGCCAATTCCTTGGCTTCATCAAAGCAGCTTAGTAAAGGGGTCATAACTGCCTAAAAAATGAGAGTTACACTCCTTTTTTTTTTTTCTGGATATTAACCATAGTCTACTGGGACCAGGGGTAACTGGTTTTCACAGTGTACAGCCCCTTCAAGCATACTCTGAGTTCTACCTCTTTGGGCTGCACAGTTACTACCATCTCCACACCAAGGGAGGCACAGGAACTGGTTGCAGGATTGCAGGAAGAGGCAGGGTCAAGCCAGGATAGTACATCCCTGCCTCCATCTGCTGCACTCCAGAGCTTTGCAGAGACTTATTTAAATTTCAGTCCAGACAGCTTTTGCTGTATGTGACAATTTCAACTGCAAATGCTCACCACTCACATGTCAAGTGCTCCTGCATAATGCCTGAAAGCATTTAAAATAAGAGCATTATTGTAAATCTAAGTTTCAGCCATTTTTAACCTGCATTGCATGCCATAGATTTAACATACTAATCTGTGCCAGAAAGTACACTCACAGTAAAAGAACTTTCACCTTTGCGATTCCAACCTGTAACAGTACATTAAAGGTCAGGCCCTGCCTAGTCAAAGCATCACACCTTCTTGCACAGAGGTAGACAGAGTGGCTCAGAGCAAGACAGGGAAAGCCCAAGTAACAGAAAATGTTGCAACAAAGTTTAAGGAAATACATGAGAATACAATCCCTCCAGACCACTAAGAACACCACCTTTAACATCTGCACCAGATTTTATCATGACTGCAACCAACAGCTTCAGTGGTGTAATAGAACTGTACAGCCTTTGTTATTTGTTTACAGAAAAAAATGCTGAGCTGCCACATTTCAATAGAAGAGGATTAAAACTAAACCAGCAAGAAAAGAGTGAGGGCTATTGACAATTAGTGCTATTAGCATTGGACACACAGCCTTCCCCCTGGATGGCTTAGGGCCAGATGTGTAGCAAGCTGACCCCTCAGCTGTTCATTTTGGTAATTAAAATGAATTTGCACCTGTGATACAAAATTAACTCAGGAACCCAAAGACTCCCAGTTAAGTACATTTGTTGCTTTGCACACAAAGGGACACTGTCAGGAGGCAACTAGTTTTCAAAGCTGTTAGGTGGGGGAGGGCTGAATATTTTCTGGCCTTCACTCCTCAGCACCTGGTACATCATTTCAAACAAGCAAGTGCTCACTTCAAACATAACAGTGCCAAAAGCTTAACCACTGGCCAGCCAGACTGCAGGGTGGACTGACAGGCCAGAACATTTAACAGAAACTTTTACCAGAAATATTTTTTACCTGCCTTTGTACAGTACCAAGCATCACAAAGATGTCAGGAATTCAACTAAAGTTAAGAATCCTTATGTTTCTCTTTAGCTGCTTTGTCATTATGTCGAATTCACAGAAGCGAAGCAGAGACACATCAGTGAAAATGAGGGAGACTGTGCCAAGGATGTGACTAACCCTTTCACAACGAATTTGGGTATCTTCAGCAGCAGTTGTGCTAATATTCAAACTGCTTTTCAACAACTGCTTGCATTCTGGGTTAAGTCATCCACATGCTACTGTACAGCTAACTACAAATACTAAAGTCACACTAGAGATTAAAAATTGTCAAGAAAGTGAGCATTTAAGCAGCCTTGTGACCAAGTCTATAAGTATGAAGCTAACTCTACCATTCTTTTGGACTGCATTCCAGTTCTCAGCATGTGGAACAGTATGTGCATGTGAAGTTGCAGTCATATCAACAAGATGGTAAGTGTTTTTGGAAAAGAGTTTATTTGGGAATTACATAATATTTTAGATTTTCCAAAATACATCTTACTAGATCCCTACAAAAGAAATCTAAATAAGTTCAACAATATGAAATTAAGGTTGTTGCAACAATCATTAAATATTTACTTCCACTAATATATACATAACGAAATGCCACACAATGAGTTTGTTTACCCTTGGAATGTGTGCTGCGTTCCAGCAGTTACGCTCCATCTCCATATCCTCCAGTTCCACAACATGAAGACTCAATATTAACACTTTGTACATCCTTTATTATAGGCAAAAACCGAAAGTTTGTTGTTGTTGGGTTGGGTTTTGGTTTTTGTTTGTTTGTTTTTTAATAGAAATTAAAAGTAACCCTCTGCAATTTCACAGCTGTGGTAGTTTGTCTACTGGGGTATCAAACTTGAAGTCTGCTGGGAAGAGATCTGGAGCTCGAGGATAGATCAGCCTGTACGATTGTCTAATCGTAACATCAGCCACACCAGCAATATCACCAATTTCTAAGACAAAAAGCAGATAAGTGATTAGTTCTTACTTTTGCCATTTGTACTGAAGAAACCAGCAAGCATAATTTATCAAGAAGTGCTATACACTTAGCTTCATTCCTAACTCTCCCAAAAGCCTGGTAAAAAGGGTTTTAACCATGGTGACTAATACTTTGCATACATAAGTCTTCTCACGTGCCATAATTCAACTTAAAGCTATCCATCTTGGAATAGTATCAGTTTCAAATTGGCAGAGGGCTAAGAGTGCAAAAGTCATTAGAAACATCTACTGCAAACTCTACATGTGCGTAGCAACATTCTAATAAATCGTCATCAACATCAGGATCATTTTTGTGCTTTAATTAAATATAAGCAAAACCAGCAAAAAAATTAGGCATAGACAAAAAGCGATACCTTCAGCTAAACATGAAAGACATTTACTTTAAAATGCACAGAGAAGTAAGTCAGAGGCACAGAGCACTGTTTAATGAGCTGAAGAAACACTTGAGATGCACAGAAACTTGAATTTATTCCAGATTTAACCAAGTTTGAAATTTAAACCTTGAACTGCATGAAAGCCTTCAGCATGGTCTGAGGACACTGAAGTCAGTATGGAGTCATGTCTGTATCCATGGCAGGCAGGTTTATTTTAACAATCACTCTTAAGAGCCATAATCCAATAGCTCAAGGTGAGCAAGGATGAAGGCTGCGTACTGCTTGGGCTCTAGATCACTCACATGCCCAGGAAACTGCCAACATGATGAAAGCTCCAGGGACAGAATAAGTAGTGATTAGTGCAGAACAAAGCACCACAACCTGACAGATAAAGGCTATTCTTTACCTAAAAGCATCTTTCCACTAAGAAATTGCTAGATTTTTAACATTTCTGACCTGAACTGGACTAGACACATCAACAGAGCTTTCACAGCCAGCTACCAGCACTTGGATCCACTTGTCACACCAAGTTCTAACCACCGCAGCCTTAGCTCCCTTCCTTCCCCATGCACCACCCACACACAGGCCTCATTCTCTTGAGCCCTGGAGGCTGATCCGTGCTGCTCTGAAACTCAAGAACAGCTCTGAACCGGCTTCCTAAACGCTACCCTGCCAGAAGAGAGTAATGCCAAAGGTGAGCTACAACCAAGCCTGCTATCCCACCACTTCCAGTCTTTATCACAGGCTCACAAGAAGTCAAGGAACATGTACTAATTTACGAGATTCCCTGGCTGCTAGAATAATTAAAGACTCAATGTAATCTAAAGCCATAATGCTGCCTGCAACTGTCCCCCAGTTTGCATTTGGAGTATTGTAGAGCAGCAGAATGTAACACATGCAACTATTAGCATGGATAAGGTTAAAACTATGCTCATTTGAACGCACTGGTCTATTGCATTCAAGAATCCAACTCATAGTGCTGGAAGAAAGTGAACTCAAGTTTATGTTGAGCACAGCCAATTACTCAATTTTCATTTTGGGGAGTGGGAGATCCTGGTTTGGTCCTTGCTGCGTGCAGTTAGAACAGCAGCTTATCATTACTTGCACAGACCTCACGCAAATTCTACAACAACACTGAATTCTCTCAACCAGCAAGACACGGGGAAGGAGAAAAACAAAAAATGATTTAAAAAAAAAAAAAAAAAAAAAGAAGTTTTACCTTTTTGTGTCCTCTTTTCTGCAGAAGCTTGTGATGCCATGTAAATAGCTGCAGCTGCTACAGAGATAGGGCTTCTCCCAGGAACCAAATCTAATTCCACAGCCTTACGGGCAATATGTGTTGCTGCCATTTGTACTTGTTTGGGAAGACCCAGATTGGAACAGAATCTTGACATGAAGTCTCCAGTTGTAATCAGATCAACACTTGTTTCGAGAGCTTTCAAAATAAGTTTAAAACACCGGCCTATTTCCTTCTTTGAAATCCTGGACACTGCACATATTTCTAAACAAAGAGTAAAAATTAAACTTTAGGCTTGACAGCATTTGCTCCCCCAAAACAATCAAATTTGATTCTCATTATATTAAGACCCACAAAGAAGGCCAATGTCATGAAGGCCACCATCACTAAATAAGCTTTGCACATCTGTGAAACTTCCAAATCACTTCAGTCAGGGCACATTTTTCTTAAGGAGCTAACTAATACAGCTTGCTTAGTAAGGGAAATTTAGTACTCAACGCCAAAAAAAGCCACATCCCTGTCAGGGAAGAGTTGCACATATTTACTGCAGAACTGTCGGTTCAAATTCAGTTACAACAGTCCCCATCACCCTCCAGTCAAAGCAATACCTTTTAAGTTTCACCAACACTCAAAATGACTTTCAAATGCTAATTTTTTTTAATGCATTATGACCAAAAATCCCATGCCTGAGAGCCTACTCACTTCACAAATGTAACAAATTTCCAGACCCCCTCCTATCATCCCCCCCAAAGGTGAGCTGTAGCTGAGACCAACCAATTCAGCAAAGTCCAGGAATGAGAAAACCAACCTCCTACAGTGACAGTAACTAGACCTTTACTTCATAGCAAAATTGAATCTGTATCACTGAGAACTTACCTTTAAACGTTCTTGGAACACCCTCTTGCCTACAGGCTATGTAGAGACAAGCAGAAGCAATAGCATCATTACTCCTTCCCTTCAGGCTCTTTTGCTCATACACTTGCTTGAATAAATTATTTGTTCGATCCTTCAAAGTAAGAAGACTAAATTTAATTAACTCTAGGCCATTTAATTAGCAGCAATATCAAAAATTCATGTGCTCATTATATTATGCTAACTAAGTCAATGCCAGAACAATTTAAGGGAGGGAGACATGAACTTACAACTATATTTCTAGGGAGGTTGATTCTGTCTGCCATGTTCGTAATTTCTTTAAAAGCATTCATCATTGCACGATCAGAGCTGCTCATAGTTCTGCGATTTTGGTACTTTGAATTCCCAAATTCATCAAAACTTGCTGCACCTGTGCCCTGAAAAGAAAAATTTTTATTGTCAATGAAACACAAGCAACTTCCTCCTCATTTCAAGAGCAAACACCTTCCAGCTTTATACACCTTAATACAAGGCATTCAGTTCGAACAGTTGTGTAAATAAACATCACTGAGTAAATCATACAATCGAGCACTGTTTCAAGCATCAGGTTCTATACTTTACACAAGTCTCAAATAGTGAATTGATTTCCACGGATTATGCAGGGATTTTTCTTTCCTAATGTAACAGTATTTTAAAGAATAAAATGAATAATATGTAGCCAATGTGTGACTCATTACTCCTGTCACCAATGCTGAGGTCCAAGACTAGATTTCATGCAACCCATATGTCAACTGGGCTGCATCTGCACTGTGGCAGACTGGCGAGTCAGAAAAACAAAATGTTATGGCCAACTGGAGACCAGTTGTTACAATGATAACTCAAATATGAAAATGAAGGCATGGGCAAAGAGAACATCCAAACCAATGACCTATTCAAAACTAATTTGATGCTGTGCCTGCTAGCAGTTGCAAGCCTTAATTGTGGCAAAATGTAAATATCCATATATTCTGCCTTTACAGGAAAACAACAGACCTCTTTAAAGAAAAGCTTGAGGTCTTAGAAGTAAGAGTCACCAACTCAACCTTACAACTTCAAAACAAACTTCCAACATGCTTTTTTTTTTTTTTTTGGACCTTACAACTGATAGTGCAGATTGCATACTTCTGTTAGATATACAATCAATTCTGCCCAACTAAGAGGGTCTAAAAATGTTTAAGGTCTTCACTTAGCCATCAGTCTGAAACACGTCTTTTAACAAATAATGCCGTGCCAGATTAGTACTAGCTGATGACGACAACATAGCCTGTAAGATCAGAAGAGCAATGTCCATAATTTATACTGTCTACTTATGCGTTTGCTGTCACAGTGTGTGGGCCCATGAGTTCTCTCAAGTGCAAAACACTTCTTCATGACAATTCCACGTCATGAGTAGAAACTTGGATTCCCTGAATCGGCAAGCATTTATTTCTTGCTGGGACCTTCAAACAATTTAGCTGGGCAACGGCATCCAACTTTCATTGCAGACAGATTTGGTCATTTAAACAAGCTGATACGATGGCCACTGCAGACACAGACCACTACACTGTTCTGTTTTGCCAAAACCAGTAAGCATAAAGCAGATCTTGATCTACAACTGACTGCTAACCTGGCTATTCACATCCAGCACTTGCACACAAAAGTTCTCAGGTTGAAGACTCAGCAATGTATCAGGATGCCTGGGTGGTACAAGGTGGGGCCAGAACACAGTGAACAAAGGGCAGACCACACCCTGGCACCACTGTATTCCTCTGAGCTGCCCAGATGGAGTCAGAGCTCATTTATTCTTTCCTGATCCATGTTCTTGGGAATTGTCCTTCTATTTTAAGACAGCCTCCAATTCTATAATCTCTCCCTGGTGCACATCTGCATTTAATACATGTTCTTTGGCTGACACTAATAACACTCACTCTCGACCATTCACTTACACTGTTCCAATTCCCCACACCCAAGGACTCCAGTTACATCCATTTCTGATGACTTCGGTGGATACCTCTATTGCTGAGACCCATATCTGTGGTGCACGCACACTTTGATACTGCTGTGGAAACCAAGGACTCCGGCACAAAACACCCTCCCTCACAAGTTTCCTTAGCCCCTTCGATAGGCCCTCTATGACAGATGCCAATTCCAAGATTGTTCTTGGGTTTTTTTTTCTACTCCTTCAAACATCCTTTCAGATGAAAGAACCGCCCAGAAATGACCCTGGCACCAACACAGCAGAGGGCTGCTCCAAAGGCAATCCCACTTCCTTTACTGGATGAATACCTCCAACTATCCAAAGATTGCCAGTAAGGTTCAAAGGTAAACAAAGAGCAAGAATCAAGCACAAACTTCAGGCCACAAAGAGCATTACAAACCTATCTGCAACACTAGACCTTCTTTTCAGAAATTATGCCAAAACAACTTCCCTTGGCCCAAAACATACACATCTTGGGTCAAAAGGCTCCTCCCTGGCCATCATTCATATCCCTGTTCCCTGCAATGCATTACAACATTCATGTGCATCACAGACTCCTAGGTGAGCGCCATGCACAAATGCTTACAGGAACTGCATGTGCTCAAAATCTTATAGATGCCAGAAGAGCGACCACAGACAAAGGCCTAACAACCCTGATAGCAAGTCCCCAGTCCTTGTTCATTCAGGCTTCATACCAGATAGTCCTTTACCAAGAAGCACTGCTCTGTCCTGGGGCCATCAAGTATTCCCCTTCACCACAGGGATTTTCCCTGGTCCACTATACAGCACCTAAAAGGTTTTTGTTTTGTTTTTAAATGGTTTTCCTTAATCTCTCATTTTTTACTTTCTTGCTGGTACTTATGGTTACCTTTTCCTTTGAACATTTGCTTATGTATATTGAAACTACCAATACAGCTATAGGCAAGTACTGTTAGCCAAAGGGGTTTACCCTGTCAGTATAAGCACTCTCCAAGAGTCATACCCAATATACAGCTCACAACTATAAAAGGGTTGGAAAATACTCTTCCATCTCAACCACTTAAATAAACCACAGCAATTCTTCCTGCATTTGCTATTTAAATGCACCATCTACTTTCTTTCTGGAGCTTTCAGTAGAGAGACAATGCTTCACTGGCTTCAGCCCTTGACAACCATGTCAGGAGTCTATTTCCCTTTGTGGAAAAGACAGAAGCCATACAGTTTTAAATGAAATTAAACAGACTTTAAGGATTTTTAAGGATTGTGTGTTTTACTGTTGTGGCCTTTATGAGACATCTACTTGTATCTTTCCCATCTCAGCAAAAAAGGTACCTGTCAAAAGTCAGGAATTCCACCTGTTTGGCTTTCAAACAGAGCAGAAACCTCATGAATACGATCCTGGAAACAGCCTCAAAGATAGCTAGAGTGAGAAAACACAGTCCAGTAAACAGTGGTAATCTCTGAAGGGGCTCAACGGAGGTTAGGCTCACAATGCTGGCAGCCAACAGCTTTGTACCCCAGTATATCCTCTTTAATAGCAGAAAGTAGAAAAATCACCATCATCCACATAATTGACTTGAGGTTATCCACAGTACCAAGAAGTGCCCCCAGATCCAGCAGTCTTCTTGCACAGTACAACTACCTCATTATAGAGTCTGATGGATCTTTTCTTCTTTTTTCAATCATCAGCCCTTGATATCTTGCCACTGCTTATCAATATAGCGTTTCTAGATCCAGGCCATGCAGTCTGACAACAGCCAGCTGGCTGTTCCAGAGGCATCTGATCAAAGGATAGGAATTCTATACCAGGAGATTGCATTAGTTTCTTGTTCAACCAGCCTAAATTCTTTTGTAGTTGCGCCCACTACAAAAAGGAATAGATTAACTACAAAGGGTAACAAAAGACAACTTTTTCCACAAGATAAGTAGCAAAATTTAACGTTTTCTTTATATCAAGGCAAATCTAGGACCTGCTTGTTCAGTTAATTTTATTTTTTTTAATTTTACATGAGGATTTTAGAAATAACTATAATATTCTGGCAATCAAGTCACAACTAATGCCAGAGGTCACTACATCTCCAATTGATCTGCACTGCCATCAGATCAACTGCAGCACACGGTATCTACTTTCAGAGATACAGTTCTGTGCCATTATCCTGAAGATCTGCCTGAAGAACGCAAACCACTTCCACCACAGCCAACTATGCTATTCATCCTCCTCTCCACAGACAAATTAATCCTTCTTCCAACACAGGCTGTTGCTGCCTGAGACAGATGGGTCCCTTAAGTACTAAAACCAATTAGGAACTAAACCCTTTGCATGGGCAAAGCAGCCTCTCTTGCTGCTAGCAGATACGGACCACATACCTCCAGTAGAAAGGAGTCCCAAAGCAGCACCTCCTGGTTTCAAAGAGGAAAGAGTGACAAACCATTCTGTGAAGCAGAACTGACCCCTTCCTCTACTATTTCAAGGCAACAGCCAGTCACCAGAACTTTACTGTTGTAACTGGCAAGCGGTTCAGACTCCAATTCCACCTACATTCCCAGGAGTCTACAATAAAACTCTGACACGATGTGCCATGAGAATTATAAATGTCCTTCTCTTTTGGATTTTCCACAACACAGGTTATGTTTTGGAGTTGGTGGGGTTTTGGTGGTGGTGGTGTTTTTGGGGTTTTTTTTTTGTTGGTTTGTTTTTGTTTTGGGCAGGGGTGGTGTTGTTTTAAAGATTCTATTATCTGTAGCACTACCTCAGGCAGAAGGGAATACATCTGTTCCCTGTCCCATGCAAAAGGCTAAAGCAATCTCTAGCACACAAATCTGGGGTCCACTCCAGGCCATTCTCAGACTTGTTGTTAACTGAGGAAATACAATCTTACCCTGCTTCATCCTCTGGAATTCATGAAGGCTGTTCTGTACTCTGTCGGATACTACTTATCTTCCTCATGACTACACCAATTTCACCCTTGTTCAACCACTGTGCATATCTAGGTCAATCCCAGCCTACTGCTGGCAAGGACTTCAGAAGACTGCTTGAGAAATGTACTGCTTCCTTGGTTTAGCTATTTTTTCTGTAAAATTCATGCCCTTTCTGCACCGATAGGAAATTTCTTCAGCATCTTCTGATACAAGCCATTCTCATCCTTCCAAATGACAGAAAAAAAAGCAGCTCCTGATACAGAGTTCTCATCAATGAGCTGACATCCCAGAGCCCCTGCTCACTGGCAAGACAAACACAGGAACTCTTGTACAGAACACATCCTGATTTGTCAAAGAGATTCCCAATTTCCTGTAGAAAATTATGTGTCCCTTCTGCAATTCCTCCCTGTGCAAATAAAATATCCACAGTAGGACAGACTGTCCCTTTTACATTCTCCAACATGATCCTGTAGTTCCAGTACTTGGACATTTTTATTCACAATTCTCATAGGTTAATCATGCCACACTGACATTCCCACATCTTGTCTTCACTAATGGCACTCTTTGCTACAGCAAGTTTGCTCATGCCTATTCTGGGCTGTTCTGGTTAACAGCAAAACTGTTTCATTAGATCAGTGTCCATCTCCGAAAATTCTTAGTTTTCACTGAAAAACTTTCACAGACATTTCGTTATGTCTTTAATTCTCTCACTGAGGCTGCTATCCCTCTTATTCTAAAAGAAGATCTGAACCTCCAGAGAGAAAAGGGTTAACAGCACAAGTCACTGTTCACCTGGATACAAATTCTACCTTTAGCTGAAGTATCTTTTGTCTTTTCCAACACACAGGTTCTAAAAGAGCTCAGAAGGTCGTCCTACCTACTGAATTAAACTGAGCTCCCAGAAACAAACCCTGTATTTACACAGTTCCAAAAAGAGACAACAGTGTGAACCTGGAGCAAACAGTCCATTTCTCCATCTGTCTACAAGGGCATATATCTGATCTTTATCACAACTGACCAAATCAGCAACAGAAATCCAGGCCCCAAGAACTACAAGTTTTCTGGACCTTTACAGGTGACATTAAAACTCCAGTGACTTCTACAGGACTACTTCACCAAGCTACTTAGCAACGCCAACTTTTTTAATGGAGCAGTGTAGAAATTAGTTTGCCTGAACAGATTCCAAAAGCCACCATAAGGCATCCTAAAATCTGGTGGGCAGCAATGCTTGGAGTTGTCCAAAACAGAAGCATCTACTTGGGACAATCCTTTGAACAGAAGGTTTCTTTTTCACCAAAGGTGAAAGATTAGCTGTCCATACCAGTATTCACAAGTCAACTTCATCTCTTTGAAGAATTCTTGGTTGAGAAGTATGGTGCACACTCCCCTTTACATATCAGTGTATATTTAGGTATGTCTGCTTCTTCATCTAGCAACATCACTGGAACAAAAACTTCTGAGAAATCCTGGTGTGAATGTACCACAACACACAAAGCTGCAATACTTTTTTAACAGTTATTTATCAGCAACTGGACCACCCTTCAGGAAACATTCAAGAAATCCACAAAAATCAATTTGGATTTTGCAGTAAAAAAATATAACACAAAAGTACCACAATGAAACCTTACCTGGGTCACTACTTCATTAAAGGGAGGACACTCGCGTGATTAATCTTGCTTGCTCTCTCATGGGAAACAGCACAGAAACAGTGGCTGTACCACTAAATTTCAACTCAAATATACATTTAATACTTTCTTCTGGAGCACTCACACCATGAAAGAATTCTACATTTAGTGCTTTAACATTAACTGGAGGAACATGTACAACATCCACGTAGATCTCCGGGTCTCCAATATGAATCTGATACAGATTTTATTACATAAAATGATAGTTCAAGTTGGGCAATACTAGCTATTGAAGCCTCAAAACTAAGCATCTGTTATTTCAGAATCATCTCAAATATACACGGCTAAGTCGAAGTGTTTCTTAAAAGACTGCAACATCAGCTTTTCTATTTATAGCAGCATACCAAAGAGTGGCAAGTAACCCCACAGCACTGCAAACTTCTCTTTTGTTGAAGAGGTCAGCCCTTTCCTGCTACCACCAGGGAAGAGCCACATTTTACACACCATTGCAATGTAAGAGTTCAGTTTAGACAAAATCTCTTTGTAAATACATTCTCTGAATAACTTCCCTATAGACATACAAACATGTAGTTGACAAAAACACTCAAACTTAGTAAAATTTAGCATTTTAAGTGTTACCTTGCCAATCATTGTACTCAAGTCGCCATCACTCAACAAAGGATTCTGGGTATCCCCGACTCGAGATGGATCTTTTGTTGCTTTGTCATTGCTGAAAGTTCTCCACTCTGACCCTACGTCTATGACCCGGTCACCTGAGTTCACAGAAAGCAACAGTCTGCATTAATGTAACATTTTGAAATATTTAATTAAACACTAAGTTACACATCAGAGTTCTCCATTATAAGAAGGCAGTCTCTTAGCATTCCCAAACAGAACAGTAACCTGCAGGACAATGTACCAAAATGTCTGGGATTTACAAGTTAAGTTGAAAGCCGGGGGGGGGGCGTGGTGTTATGCAACAAGAGCTGCACACAAGACATAAGTAACTAGAGAAATGCATCCCAAACACAAAGAGTTACAGTTAACCTTAAAGAATATCATGGGATCTTCACTATACAAGAGGAATCAAGACCTTGATTACAAGCTGGAGGTCATGGTTGCCTATGGACCTATGGTTCTCAGTGCTTAGACAAATAAGTTATTGTAACTTAAGTTCTCTCACATTTGCCATGTGTTCAAAGTGCACATGTGAATTATCTGTCATGCGTACTCTCATTAAGCTGTAGTAAATCACTTCTGTGCATGAGCTCTAGGTCCTCGGCACTCTGAAATATGCCACCTTCTAACCCACCATAACAACATTTTACAGCTCAATTCTTGTTCTTGAAGGGAGGTCTGACCCTGCCCAACTCCATTTATGCTTGACAGTATCAACACACCATATATATGTATATATATATTCCCTAAACCTTTCCTACTGAAACTTTTCAGATTGAGAAATAACTGTAACCAACATTTTGATGCAAGCAAAAACCCCAGAGTAATCACAATACAATCTTAAAAACAAACAAACAAACAAAAAAAACAAAAAAACCCAGACTACCACACAAAAAAACCCACCCACACCCCCCACTGTTGGCAGTGCAGTTCATTCTATTCACAGGTCTGGTAAAAGCTGCATCTCAAGGGTGTTGCCTCCAAGGCAATATTATAGAATTTTTAAGAATACACGTACCATAAAGCACAAAAAGAATACTTTTCTTAGTGTTTTGCAGTAAAGCAGATTACAGCTCTGTGTAGGATATCAGAACAAACTTCAATATAGTTGTCACCTTGCTCTGCTAAACCTGAGGAAAAATTCACTACCTTTATCAGTGTTTAAGTGTGATGTGAAAGAAATGTCTGCAAAAAATAAGTAGCATTGACTGCAAGAAAAATTTCCGGTATGGAAGTCTTAGCATGAAACCACAGAAGCTGATTTAACCTAGTGAAAACATAAGCAGACAGGTAAAAGCACTCTGCAAACAACAGTAATACAAGATATGAAGCTGGTGAAAATACAAGAGCAATGGACAAAGGGGTGCAGCTGCACAGTTACTTGGTGGGCGGAATTTATTCTGAATGAGGAACTTTATTCTCAACATAAAATTATACAAGGAATATGCTTGAAAATTAAAGCTGTGAATGAACCATAAGAAGTCACCACAACCCAAAAGAATAAGTTTAGGTTAGAGGTGTTCTCATCAATATTTGCCAGATATGCTCATAGCTATGCTCCACCTTTATTTACTGCTCTAATGAAAACCAAGAAGGGGAGGAAAAAAAAAAATCATCAGGAACTAGAAGGTTAAGACTATAGCAGAGTAAAAGAACGCATAGATCCCTTCGTGCTGCTACAAAGGTCTTCCCCCCTACTTGCAAGCTTAAATTAGCAGACAGCATGCTCCTCTAGCTCCTGGTCTCTCTGTAAATACTTGATTCAGTAATGCTCCTTCTATGGCCTAGCAGTAACTTTACTTTAAGACAACCCCCCAATACTGTTTACAGCATCTAAAAAAAGCAAAATGTACTTAAAATTCTGGCATGGTATAAATAGAACACCGAGTACAGAGCAATGATGTAATATTTTTTCCACACAAGTAGGAATGACCTAAATGACTCACTCAGGGATCTGCCTCTTGTGAGTTATGAACCATTCCTGCTCTAACAAAAAAGTGTTATATCACTGCCTGCTTTGGCAAACGTATTACAAACAGAGGACTGAGCCTACTATTTCAGAGTGAGAAAAGATTAAGTAGAACAAATCACTGAATATAAAGCATTTGTGTACTTAAGATGCAGTATGCACATATCTTTATTTTGCCAAGAAATCTGCTATTGCAGAAAAGAAGTTTTTCTGTATACTCTCAGCATCTTACTTAAAATATACAGAGGTCCTAGGAAGTGCATTCCACCTTTCAAAATGCTTCTATAAAAGCATGACACAAGCTAGAAATAATAACAAAAATGGAACAAATAGGCCAAAAGGTTTCCATAGATGGAAAATATACTCAGCTACAAGCAGCTAATTATCCCATTCAATTAAAAAAAAAAAGTGGCATTTATTATTTTGAACTCTTCAAAACATAAAAAACACTTCGGAATTGTGATGTTAGTACAGATGCAGTTAAGCCCCACCCTAAGTGATCAAAACAGAACCGTAAAATACTAAAGTCAGTCTTACAAAAAGCAGTGTAAGTAATCAGCCTTGAAGACTGGTCCCAAGTTAACATTTCAAGTGCTAAACTGAATTTGCTGGGTCATACACTACTGATGGGCTTTCCTGAAGCACCTGGAAAACAGGTCTGACAGTCAAACATCAGAGTAAAAAAAAAAAGCTCCCAATAAGTACCTTGTAAGATAGTCTCTGCTTTCTCACATCATTATCATATTGGTTTTGGCAGAGGTGAGTTGCGATAAGTATGGGAGTGACTGCATATTGCCTTCACTACTTCCTTTTGATGCAGTCCTTTTGAACAAAAATAAGCTTCACTAGATACAGTTACATTAGACACTCCTTTATTTAATTTTCATCAGACAGATGAGTTCACCTCCTCAGCTTCCTCCTCTGAAGTACACACAAAAAATGCAGTTTACATGACCAAACCTTTGTGGAACCCATCTCTAGGCTGATACCTTGAAGCATCTTTCTGAACACAGGAATTTTTCGTCCATTGCCCCATTTAATTTTGTAAACCATTCTTCCAGTATTCAGTTACTCTTTAAAATACAGTCTAATAGACAAACACACAGGCTCTAGTGGAAATACACACTGCAAACTTCACTGACTCAGGTTACCCACCATCTGAAAAGCTCATTTAGTAAAATGCAGAACTGTTATTCAGAACGGAAAACCTCAGACCAAGGTTACTTTTCTTCACAACTGCCAAATGCAAAGAGCATGCGCTACAGAAATGTAAGAGTAAACTCAGGTCAGTATCAAAAATTAAAATATCATTTTGAACAGGTTTTTTTAAGTTAGCTTAAAACAGCCACACATCACAAATTATGTATGTTTACTCCTCCCCTAAAAATAGAAACTGATTTCTTAAAGGAAAATATTTTCACTCAACAAGCCCTGGATTTGCAATTACATATTTATAGAGAAATAATACTAGCTATTTTAATGTTGCACTCCACTTGCAATAATTCATAATACACATGTATTTGACTCTCTTCTTGCATTTTGTATTATCTGTTATATGAAGACAATATAGCTGGAAATTGAACATGTTTAATCAAAACAAGAAATAGGATGAAATTCAAGCCTCTAGTAATGTTATCTTCCATATTCAGTCCCGAAACAGTTCTGAGAAGGTATGTTCTTAAGTCTTTTCCAGAGGAGCGCCTATGTTAGCTATACATTGCATCAAGTTCTACATATTAACAACTAATATTTTAATCTTAACATAAATATCGTATTAAAGTTTATTTGCACTTTAAAGTACCAAAACACCTATTGTTTCTCCAGAATGTTTCATTCTTACAGTTAAAGAATCTGCTGCCATCTAGTGAGCACACATATTATACTTCTAATTAAAAGCATTTTACAATGCCAAATCAAAAAAAAAATATATATATATATAGAATTACAATTAATTTCAATCAACTCCTTATTAACCAGAGTAATGAGGTGCTGAGAAAAACTACAATGAAAAACCTAGGCAGCAGACTACAAGCTGAGGAGAATTGTGAAGATGTGTAACTGCACAAAGCCAGGCTGAACTGAGCCTTCTCTTTTCCAGGCTAACAGTCTCAGCTTTCAGCCTCTCCTCGTATGGAAAATGCTCCAGTCCCTAAATCACTTTCACAATCTTCTGCTGGACTTGCTCCAGCAAGTCTCTATCTTTCTGGTACTGAGCAGCGCAGCGCTAGACACAGTACTCCAGATATCTTCTCCTTCACATTCTATTTATTAGTTTACGCACTGCCCCCATACAGTAGTACTCAACTTTATAGCTTCCAAAATATGAACTCAACTGTTTTTTTTCAGTCTTCAGCTTTAGAACTTCTATTTAAGACCAGATGTATTAAATGTTACCAAAGAATAAACTCTTGGGGAAAAACAACCACACAATTTTACAGTCACAGCTTTTTCTACAAAATTTCCAGCCTTTTGTAAAATAGTAATATTCTTTTTACAAAAAGTTATCATCTTCAATAAATTGTCAACACCACAAATGCATCACCACCAACAGCAACACCAGCCTATTCACAACACTCAGCTGAAATTACAAACAGAATCTGAGCAGACTTTCAGATGTTAAACAAAAACAAAAGAAAAATTCCCAGAAGACTTCAACTAGTTTCCAGACATCAGCAAGATCATACCAGTACCGACAGGCAACTATGAATTGAAACAGACAGTATAGCACTGTAGGTGAATGACTGTTAAAATAACAAAGGCTTAGCAGCTCCTGCATTTCAAAATGATGACAAATTTAAAAGGACTTCCAGGCTTCCTAAACCATCAACTTGTAAGAATTTTGGAGGAAGCAAATGAGAGTAGAAACGTTAAACAATCTGGTGGACAAGCCTGGTCAGTTGAAGTTACACCTCTCCAGGACTTGTGGCCTTTAAAAGACAAACAGCTCAAGTACTCACAAAGGATGCTCCAAACTACAGAATCTCAATTAAAAATGTTGTGCCTGATCTACACTACATCACAAAAATAAGAGGTTTTGGACTCTTCTTCCATCAGAGCAGTTCAGATCATTTCTAGCCCTTATTTGCCCTAAATCACTTTGCCAATCTGGTAAGGAAGCCAGTAAAA